CGAAACAGTAATCAAGGGTTTTAAAATTTAGAGGGAAAAGCTGAGCTTATACCTCATGATGTTGCTCGTTGGCTGTCTGCATGGAGTCTGCATTTGAGGTGCGCGCGCGAACATCCTCGATTTGTTTCATCTTGACAGTACGGTTGAGTTCAAACGATCCATGATTAATTTATCGTAGTCGTTGATGACACAGGACGAAGCCTGGGGCCGGACCCTTCCATAGTACTTGTAGTTGATGAGTTAGGATGTCACTGAGACAAAATCCACTCGCTCGCCGCGTCGAACGGGTTCAGGATGTAAGTGAATTTCCCCGTAACGTCATGGATCACGCTGGAAGACATGGGTCAAGCCCTGTCAATCCTACACAGTTCATACGGCTCTTAAATGCTTTGCTGCCAGGCAGGGGATGGATCGTGATTCGCCAGCCCATAAATGGAAAGCATCTTGCAGAAAAGCAGCCTGAACCAGTTACGCTGACCGCGGTTAGTGATATACTCAACGGCGATTCGAAGCTCTCGGCAGTTGGTTTGCGGACCCTAGAGATGGTTGACTCTGAGCGTATTAATTCTGTGATTTGCCAATAGCTTTATGAACCCACATAATATAATTTGCTTACTACTGCATCTCCAATTTGATACCTCGCACCATCGCCCCAAGTTTAGCGGAGATACTTGTCAAGCTTTTTGATACATTTCCCAAGTCCTTAAAGCCGTTCCTCGTATCCTTCTCGATCAGTGATTGGTGAAAATATAATCGTGCATCATGGACAGAATGGGGGACACTCTTGACCGTCATGACTTATGATGGCCATGATTGTCTGCCATTTTGTCCAACTTCGCAATCAAGGTTTTGAAATAGCCGCCAAACTTGGATTACAGCGCCTGGCTATCATGGCTACGGTGCGTGTCGATATAGACCTCGCAGCCTGTGGTAATCAATATTAAATTCAAAACTCAGGTTTTATTAGTACTCACTCGTAGCATCCATTGCTAGATCCTGTCAATTATTCCACCCAATCGAGAGTCTTGGTCACCCGAAGAATACTGTCACATGGGGCATAGTTGGTTGCTAGCACTATGCGTAGTAGCTATAGTGTGGAGTCTGGACGGATGAATACTATGGACGTTCCGATCACGTGTTCATAACGGGAAGTTATTATGGAGCAGAAAAGCAATCGTGAGAAATACCTTCCTATAATACGTTTGTCTTGACTTTTCCTCCTTCGCCGTGAACATGCGCGCAATGCCCAACATGTCCGCAACATCCTTTGCGTTCAGGACTCTTGGAGTCCACTTTAGCAAGCGCACAAATGCAAGTTTAGTATTGCAAACACGTCGTGAATCTCTTCGCCCTGATGTTGATCGCTACAACACCATCCGCTTGTTTTTCCAGCGGCAGCTTGCGACACATACTTCTACGCCAGTGACACCACTGCCAGCCTGCAGGAGATCAACGTTCCACACGAGTTTTACCCCAAGTTCTTCTAGATTATTGGCCAGACGCGACTTCCAGGAACTGAGGTCGCTTCGGTCGCGCCATGACCATTCGAGCAGGGAAGAGAAAGGTAACATACAGGAGAGCGACCACTCCAGCCAGGAGAACAAAGCACAGTTCCCCGGCTCCGCTAGTTCTGTTCAAGGCGATTCGGAACAAAATACGGGTGTTCATCCCCCCCCTCCACCATTAAATCTCGACAACTATCCCCGTCTGTACCGCAGATTAGCTCTATCCCTTTCTCACCTTCACCGCCCCACACGAGACGACTTCTTGAAAGTAGCCAATGGGTTTTGGCAACGTCTACGGATCCGCTTCAAGTGGTTTACAATACGTTCTTTTCGGAGATTTAATGCAGATGATATCTCCGCTTTCATAACATGGTTCCTAATGAGCCAAACGCTGTGGATATTGGTCGGAACGTGAGTTGAAAATATCTGGTCTGAATATCTGATGGCTTATTCTATTCAGAACGACATTCTTTTCCGTAGTTTTTGCCACTGCTAATAGTCTGCAATTGCAAGGTATGTGTCTCCCCTATGCAATCATACGCACATATCTCACTAGACATTGCAGAATATGTAGCACGCGCCATAAGCAACTACCTCACTAGTGAGACTGGCGTCACAGTCATCTTTGAATCTGCTATCGTTCCTAAATGGAAGGACTCTCGCATCTCCTTCAAAAATGTATATGTCTCCCGCAGATCATCCTCTACCACCCGTCCACTAGCGCTAAAAAAACATATTGGACATAAAGCGGCCGTTGGATATGATGTCAGCAGCCACCCCGCATACAACTATTTTGTGGATGACGACGAAGAAGTAGTTGAAAGTCACGCGGAGGATGATGTCAACTATTCTATGTTTGACCTCAACGTAGACTCCATAGACGTCACTTTGTCACTCCAGCACTGGCTGAATGGCAAGGGCCTTGTGGAGGATGCTGTGATCAAAGGCGTTCGCGGAGTACTAGGTCAGTATCTTTGTCCATCGAACATCAGCTTGAACTGAAGTTGTAAACAGATCGTCGCTCTGTTTTCTGGGATCCAGAAAACCCACTTGACCCGGCTGCATTCCGTCATGTTGGCCGCCAAGGCGACTTTGAGATAAACTCTCTACAGCTCGAGGACATCCTTGTGACCGTGTATCAACCGGGCGATTTTAGGCCTTATACTGCCTCAATTTTTCGTGCAGACATAAGAACTTTCCGGAAACAATGGCTCTTCTACGACGTTTTGTGTGCGGAAAACGTCGTAGGGCAGTTCGATAACTGTCTATTCAGTTTGCACAAACCTCAAAGCATCGGCCGAACTACTGAACAGGATCTCAAGGATGGAAAATGGTCGCGGATGGTAATGTGGATTGACCCCTATCTCTGGTCAGTTCTGACACGTTAATTATAGTCTAGGATTCGCATTGATGGCGTCAATATTGATCACATGCAAAATTCCACGACATTGGAAGGCGGTCCCTTGTCGTGGATAACGTCTGGCAAAGTTGACGCAGTGCTAGATATAAAATTCCCTAGGGACGCAGAAGACGAATTTGCGTTGAATGCCATTCTCGGTGAGCTCGCGGATGCCATCACCACGGCGGCTACTGCCTCTCTACCCGTTGAGAGAATACCGGGGCAGCGAGAGCTCGCAAAACCACCTCTTACTGCACCTACGACTGATGACGAGAGCGAAGCCAATGATAGTCCTAAGGTCGTCATCGACATAGATTTGCGATTTAGGGATCTCAAGGCTGCTGTTCCGTTATTCACATCAAATCTCTCATATGTCAATAGCGCACTAATAAGACCTATAGTGGCGTTCATGAAGTGAGCGAAACATTCTATCTGTGCTTGATTGTTTCATTGATTTGTCCAGCGCACATCATACTTTGGTTCCTATTCACTGCAGAGTGGTTAAAGATTTGAGTGATTATGACGGCGCATGGACTGTGAGTATCTCTCTGGAGTCTTCGCAATTTCGCTCAAACTAATTGGTTTTGTAGATGTGGGAGAGTATGTTATACTTCTTATGTAATAACCTACTACCGCTAATCGCCTCCTATTGTAGCCGGCCTCATGGATGAAATTTCACAAAAGGTAGAAATAATTTGATTACTGATCAGCGTGATCTGATACGCTTGCTTTAGATATACGATGCGCTCGCTTATCACGTCTCCCAAGTCAACTTGAACAGGCGAGTAAAAGCAGTCAGCATGTGGTCATTGCAGATGACTGCCAGCGCTGTACTGTCTGCGCTGAGGAACCTGGTGGATCCAGTGTCTATGCAGGTTCGGGATCTATACTACGTGAATGGCGTTCCATATAACGGCTTAGTTCCTGGACCGTAGACTGGTAATTGTTTTGCAGCTATCGACGGAACTATTTTCAGCTCACTCCGCATGACGCCTCTATATGTCAAACAGGGATTCTACGAGACACGTTCATAAACACGGTTTGATAGTCCTATTCTCAGTCGTGTTTTCTAACTTTCCAATTGAGAGATGTTTTGACATGGGAGTCAGAAAATTGCCAAGGGATCGCATAACAATATTGATTTGATGCCCATCTAGTTTACGACGATGATAACGGTCGCTTCTGCTACTTCAATTCGACGGGCTTTCGAAGGTCTTGGAACGTAACTCGATGGTAGCGTATTACGGGCAGTATTTGACCATTTCTGCCAGTGGAAATGAGCGGAGTTGCCAATGAACAGAATCAATGCCAATGGCCGGACACGGCGGGGAGAAAGTGATGGAAACAACCTTACTAATGTCTGCGATACGTGCATATCACATCATCGTCAAGTTCTAACACTGATAGATTTTGGCACAAGTGTAAAAGCTAAGCTACCGTCGCCAAGTTGACTTTGCCATGCGGCCATGTTAGAGACCTCTTGATGACTGGCCAGGTCCTTGTGTGATTTTGTTGTTTTCACAAGCATTTCTTGCGTGTCTATCGAGAGACCTTCACGGATGAGTGAGTGACGCCATGAACCCTGATCATGAGACCTGGTGGACCAGTATTTGTATTGCTCACAGTGACAAACAGAAATCGGCCATGCGTGGGCCAATAATGCATCATTACGTGGAGCCTCCAACTTCGTGCAACTCTTTTTAGCATTGTGATAACTATCGGTATCAGTGCTCTTCTGCAGGTTGCTAAATTCCGATTATTTACGATTTCTCTATTTATGTCAACAAGTGTTGGCACCACTGACCGAGACCATTAATGTCTCTTGTTCTCTTCCGAGACGGGTTTTCTAATTCTGACATGTCACGATCAGAGATCCCGCCGGTGTCCCCGTGGGCTCCCTTCTCTCTCGGTTTCTTTCTCCCCCGCACATAGCGGACCGAAGTATGGATGAATGAGTGTAGGGGACCTGGTGGAGTCTCCTCGTTGGTAATTGTATCTTTGTTATCAGATTGATTAAGTGCTCATTATACCACGCTTCAGCTATAAAGCGTGTCATGTTCTAAACCTGAATATCAATTTCCCCCTCCTTACAATACATGCTCCAACCACTGCATTCAGTTTCGATTGAATCCAAGCAAGAGGATGTGACTGTCATTGACTTGGCCCTCGTTGGATCTCAAGGTCGCGTTGGATTCAGAGGCCTTTTTGAAAATAAATTCCTGTGAGTAGTTTGGGGGGATAGCATGGATTTAAACGATGGGATATATTTGTGGTGCAGACTTGGTGTATCGTTATTCTCGACTCTCGGAGGATTCGTGAGTTTTTTGTCGCAGTATAGATGACCGCCAGTAACATTGTGCCTTGTCGTGTATATTCAACAGCTCTGTGGCTACGCCCTGGTGAGTTGGGCAGTGTCCTCATATGATACTAGTCTAATTGTCCATCAGGAAGTCATCCCTGCCGTGCTCGCCATTGAGTCGTTTGGAGCGAAGTTCCCAGAGATATACACGAATGCAACACTGAAGGTAAGGTTCCAATAGATCTCGGTCCTGTCAGAGTAAATACTTTTAGGGATGGCTTGTGTCCACATTTATGCTTGGCAAGTCAACGTGGCATGCCGCAAGCGTCTGCTAGCTGATGTACGTCCGCAGCTGCCTGGTTCGGAGCTAATGTGAGCGGCCCTGTCTGTGACAAGGTGAGATCTATTATTCGGCCAGACAACCTGACAGGTCAAATTATGATCGACTACAACCCAGATCGGACGAAAGGTTAGCATAATATGCGATGCTATGATCTTCATTCTCGGTAGTTCACTCCAAGCATGTGCCACGTCTCCCGGTAAGTTTTATTTTGTCACATTTTTCTTAGCTTCGCTGAAGATCATTTTGCTAGTTCACCTGTTCGCCGGTCGCGTTGTCGCTGGTTTGGCAGTTGGTTCTCTGACGCATGTCGTCCCAATGTATCTCGCTGAGATATCCTGCGCCAGAATTCGTGGATCATTAGTTTCTCTGCAACAACTCGCTATCACATTCGGGGTGAGTGAAACAACCAGCAATGAGGTTATGCATCTGACGCTACAAAATGTAGCTTCTTGTCAGTTGTGCGTGGCAGTCTGCTTTCATATGTTTGCATGTGCTCAGTACTTGAAGACGGGATCGTGTATGGCACGTCACAAATCGGGGGGACCCGATGTGCCCCGGGAATACCGTACACTGGGACGCTTCCGAATGGCAAGCTTGTGTTCAATCCTAACACTGATGTCCCTCCTGGCGGTTGCACTGGTCAATCACAAGCGTCATGGAGAGCCCCGCTTTCATTTCAAATATTACCTGCTTTGGTATGTTGGCTATATTTTCTGCCTCTCCCTCATACCTATGGAAGTGTAGTGTCTTGCCATAGGCATGCTCTTCATGCCATACTCGCCCCGTTGGCTCGCTGATAGAGGCCGCGAGGTGGAGGCTCTGGACACACTGTCGCGTCTTCGACGGAAGCCCGCTCAAGATTGTTCGGTTCGCACTGAATTCCTGGAGATCATGGTTGAAGTTCGTTTTGCAAGAGAGGTCATGGAAGCGGCATATCCTGACGCGGGGCCAGTCATGCGGATAATCCATAAATACTCGGCGTTGATGGCTGGCTGGCCGAAGTCCAAGCGACTGGTTGTTGGATCTCTCATTATGACGTTCCAACAAAGTATGGTGGGCTTTCAAATCATAGGCTTTTCTTATCGTGTAGTGATTTATTGTGGGTTGTCAGGGGGTGACCGTAAGTCGTGATTCATCCTCCTGGAACTAACATTGCTTATTTTGATTAAGACTCTCATCTATTTATTACCTACGAGTAAGCTTTACAAAAAAAATTGATTGTTGAGTTCAAAGTTCACTCTTATCCGTAGTTTTCAGCCAACTGGGCCTTAACCCTAATACTACTTCCTTACTTGCCACTGGGGCTTATGGGATTGTTAACGTGAGTTCAAGTATAGATAATGTCACATATAAGTCTCTTATTTTGTTCCAAGATGCTCGCCACTTTACTTGCTATCGTTCTTGTCGATAGGGTGGGCAGGCGACCTGTGTTAATATCTGGTGCCGCCGGCTGTTTTATTTGCATTGCAATCATAGGCTCTATCGTAACCATATACGGCAAGGATTGGCCAGCGCATGTAGTAGCGGCTCATGTTACCATTGGTGGGTGCGCTGTAATTACCTACGGAACATGTTGAACTGTGTCACAGTCTTTGTGTTTCTCTACGATGCAATCCTCTCTTACTCGTGGACTCCGATGGCATGGGGTGCGTGGCTCGTAATTTATTTCCTTCGAGGATTTGATATCTTTGACAGTCATTACCAGCGAGATATTCCCGTTGCACCTCCGGTCCACTGGTATGTCCCTTACCGCATCGGGCATGTGGTCATCGTACTTGTGCGGTTTCATTATCTTCTTCGGTATATCTGGTATTGACCGTCGTTATGTTAATTAGTACTGCTGGACTCTTTACGCCGACGATGCTGAGTCCACATGCAGGTGGAATTGGGTACTGGTCGTCTGTCGCGTTTTCTCTTGCCGCGTTACTCTCAGCTAGTATGTCAAATCCCCAAATCGTATCAAAAATTATGTTAAGCTCGCTTTCAAGTATGGTTTATCCCAGAAACCAAGGGTCGGGTAAGTTTTCTTTACGTTCACATGTCCTGTTGAACATGGCTGACGATATTGTACAGACCCTGGAAGAAATGGACCCTGTATTTCGTGATAATGCTACTGACAGTCAGCGAGAACTCAAGAGGGGTATTTCCCAGGAGCTTGGTCTGCCCGACCGGGCGTTTTTGAATGCTCTATAAAGAAATTTCTGGTTGACCCAGGTCATTATTTCCTCATTAAATCGATTCATCCATCATGTATATTATGAACTCCTTTTGTCTTTTTCTATCCTCGACATGGTCACGTCTGGGTTTTCCAAGCTTTTGAAGATGAACGATTTCGCGCTATCTGGAATGAGCTCCACTTCCGCTCCCTTTCATGCCGAACTCCTATCAGCAGACTATGCGTGACGGTAAGCGCTATCTCTACTTCCGCCCTCTTTCTTTTGCGCAGTCTCAGAAACCGGCTGGCAATAAACCATTCTATTTAATTGTTCAGATGGTGTATGTTATCTTTCTGCTTCAACCAAGCCCTGAGATCTGAGAAGTGGTTGATATGGTAAGCCGAACCGTGACCTCATCTAATAATTTCCGCCCAAATTTTTAATTCTCAAGATGAAATCATATTAGGCGCGCGGACCGCTTGTATTTATGATTATAACACGCAACTTGAACAGAAGCCCAGGTGAACCTACGAATTTGTATCAAGAATAGGAAAATGGTCAGATTCTGACGCTGCAGATTTCAGGGGAGGAACGTTGAACGGAAGAGCCGAGTATACATACTCTTGCATACTTGTGTGTGACATCATCTGACCCCTCTGTCTGCAGTTCCAACTAGTGAGCGAGGCAACCTGTTTGAAAGTTCGTCCTGCAAAATCCGGTGCACCAGGCAAAAATCTCAGACTGGTGTGCGAGTCGGGTTGGCTTCACCAGACCATCCCAACTACACGCGTGTGGGGCCCTCCGACCACATAGCTCGGTGCAATTATCACGGAGTTTAAGTTCGAACTCCGACTGTTACATCGTCCGCGTCATCCCCCAAACCTGACTCTCCTCTTCCCAAATATTCAGACAAGTTTACGATGCGATTCCCATTACGGTGGAAATCACTCGTACACATGTCAGTAATATGATTTTCAAACGTCATAAGACAGGTACGTACCACGTATGATTCACTACAGCACAGTCACAGCACTAGTGTACATTGTTACATCGGTGTCCCTCACTTAGTTGGCCCGTATGAATTTGATTAATGTTGTGAGGCTGACAGCGATCAAGAGCATGCGAGGGATTCCGTTTTATATTGAGATTGACACGAGAGTCGGTCAGGGACTGTTCCGAGGTTTCTTGTCAGTGAACAGCGTGGTGTACTGGGTGCTGTCAATCAAACATGCAGCTGCGCATCCTAAGAGACCATGGGGAACCGTTTTTCCATGAGTTTCTTGAAGTGGGAACAACCATTCTTGACTCTCACTGAGACGAAGTAGTCAGGCTAGCAGCTGGTGTGCCAACGTTCAGTCAGAATTTGCACACAATTCGAACTATTAATAAACATCGATCTGCATTCATCGCGACCACATACACTACAACCAAAGAGAAAAAACCTAACACCCTACAGAGAAGGATGGAGACCCGATCCTATCCACAAAGCAGCCCAAGTCTCAGACCACAACCGCACTCAAGCGCTCACCACACACAAGCTCACTCGATTTCATCAAACCCTAGGGCGAGAAACAAGTGGAACGTATGGTGGGAGACAGCGTCGAGGAAGAAGTGCCGGAGACAAAAAGAGTTTGCGGGGGAGAGGGGGCGGAACAGGGGAAAGGGGGTTGGAACGAACAAGTCGGATGTAGGTGTAGGCGTAGGTAAGTGTGGATGCGTGACAAAAGCGAGTGATGCCAAATACAAAAAGAAGACGAAGGCGAGGAGACCAGGAGGAGCCAAAATAAAGCAAGGTAGAGTAGGAGATAGATAGAACATAGACAGCTTTATGGGAACGAAAATGATGATGACGAGTCCGATGAGTGATGAGATGGATGCGAAAGACAATAACAATGATAGATATGTCACGGAAACCGATGATGTTGATCGGGCGCTTGATGAAGGGTGGTCGAAAGGTTCATCAGATCAGTAGACGCTAACCTCGTCCCACACCAGCGCATCCGAGAAGTCGGCGTCAACATCGAAGGTAGTGCTTGAGTCCATAGCGATGTCCTGCGTACTCGGCAGCATCTCTAGCAGTCTTTCTATTCCCATCTCTACACTGACTTGTTCCGCCCAGTTAGCTGTGTCAATCCCACTCGTAACCAGCCCCAGGCCGGCCTCCTCCATGGAAGTGGGCTCACTCAGCACCTGCGTGTTGTTCGCGTCTTTTGCCGAAGGGCAAGTGACTGGAAGAGCGCAAGTGCCAGTCGGCGGCGACGCGAGGATCTCTGCGAACAGGCGTGTAAGGGCTGCGTCTGTGGCTGCCTCGTCTTCAGGCTAAGACAAAACAGTATGAGTTTGATTGCATGTTTAGGAGTGATAGGTAACTGACCTCGATCGCAGCACTGTTGTACATCTGGATGCCCTCACCGGTCCTGTGACTAGACGTATGCTGCCCACCCGCTGCAGGGACACTGCCGCGTGAACGGTAGTGGTCGCCACCCGTGCTAGGTGGCGAGTGGGAGTATGCGTAATCAAGGAGAGGTCGAGAGTTTCCTGTGGTGTGTCAACAGGTGCTGGCGAGTCGGATGGCGTGAGATCTGAAAGAGTAAATGCGGGACTGGGTGGGAAGTCGAATGAGTCACCCAAAAACAGCATGGGGCTGTCCGTGAGCGTAGAATGCGTTGGTGCAGGAGAAAGTGGGTAAGAAAGGGTTGCTAGGGATGTCGATTTAGGTGATGAGGGGGTTGGAGATGCAGAGTCTGCTGTTGAAGGAGAATTTGCCTCCGCAGGTGATGGTGCGCAAGCGGATGAGAGGATTGGAGTCGAGCTTGAAGTCTCGTGGAGAGCAGGCGGGTTGGCGCCTTGGGTTGCCAAGGTCCGCAACACTGCCTCATAACCCATCTCTAGCGTTCGAATGCGTTCGCGCAGCTCGGAATTTTCACGTTCTCGTTGTTCCTCGGCACGTTTTCGCTTGCGCTCCTGCTCCTGCTCAATGGTAACAGCCTCGGGCTCTGAGGTGGAGCTGGCCGAGGGTGAAGCAGGGATGGTGATTGGGACACCAGCGCGAAGACGTCTATTCTCTTCCTCGAGTTCATTAACTCTACGCTCGAGAAAGGAATATTGAGCTTTTCTGCGGTCACGGGAGTTTTGTGCCGCTATGCGGTTGCGGTGTGCACGGGCCTCTTTGCGCTCTTCCGGTGTTATGGCTGAGCGAGGGCGCTTACGTGGAGGCTCCTGTATCGATACATCAGGAGAGTCTGCACGAGATGATGAGGGAGATGCAGGACGCTTGAGGAAGGAAGAGGAAGGGAGAGAAAGACTGGATGGGTCGACGAAATTTGTTGAGTGTGGTGACATGGTTCCACGTATGCAGTCAACTTGGCGAAGGCACTTAGGAGTCTTTGGTCGTATATATCGTTAAAAAAAGAGTGCTAGAGTCAACGCTAGGAAAATCGAGTGCAGGACGTGGCCATGAAGAGAAAGTACACGTACACAGAACACGTAGACAAAACTATAAACACAGCCACAAATACAAATAAACTGCGCAGTCGTCACCTGATCATAACGCGCAGCCCCCCCCCTGGCCCCTGGGCCTGTGCCAATAATACTTACATCTAGATTCTCAGATCCCTCTGGCACCGTCGGCGGAGTCATATACAACTCGCCAGTTCAGTATGTACGTTTAAATGGTGGGATTGCCTTGCATTCATTTTCATCCAGAGTCTTGTCAATGACACCGCGGTACTTGACAGTGACATCGGGCAAGTTGATATCATCCTGCCACGTAAGAGTATGCTTCATCCAGTTGTCATCATCACGCTACAGATACAGGTTAAGCGGATCCACTGCAATGATATAAAAATACCAACCTCAGGGTGGTCCTCACGAGCGTGAGCGCCTCGGGACTCCTTACGGGCTGCAGCAGCCGTCATAGTTTGGACTGCACATTGTAAAAGGTTGCGCAGCTCAAGAGTCTCAACAAGATCACTAAGATAATGACGTGAGCAAGGATTCGGCAAAAATAAACAGCGACTGTACGAGTTCCAAATCATGCTTCTATCCTTGATACCAATATTGTCAAACGATTTGTATATCTGACGGATCTTCTGAACGCCTTCGTCGAGACTCTGCTGTGTGCTACGTGGATCATCATTTTCACTGTTAGTCGCATGAAAATGCCAGAACACACCGGAAAAGAGCGGCATTAGATTGCATGGCTTTTTGCATTTCCAGCCTTATATCGGCAGTAGGCTTTGGGCCATTTGCATTTCTGATTCGGTCCAAGAACTCAACAGACTCGAAGCCAGATTCCTCAGGAATAGCCTTATGAGGCTTTCCGGGAGTCAAGTTCTCCATGATATGACGAGCACACGCGCGACCGAAGACGACGAGATCCAAGAGGGAGTTTGCGCCAAGACGGTTCGCGCCGTGAACCGACACACACGCAGCCTCACCGGCTGCATACAGACCAGGTACAATCTTGTCCTTGCCATTCTGACCATGGTTTATGAGCGGACGCGACAAGCACAACTAGCACAAGCTCACCTCATCAACAGTCAGCACCTCGCCAGTATATCGGGTGGGAATACCACCCACTGTCCGAAAGTCAGCTAAAGTCTGGACAGCACAGTGGAGACATTAACTGTTGTAGTGGACAGTAGGTAGCACTGGAATAGGCTGCTTTGAGACATCGACTCCGGAAAAAATAGCAGCAGTCTCGGATATACCGGGTAACCTCTCGTGAAGAATTTCAGGGGGTAAATGGCTGAGCTGAAGGTGTATGTGGTCCTTTTGAGGTCCAGCACCGCGTCCTTCACGAATCTCAATCGTCATCGAACGAGATACGACATCACGGGAAGCAAGATCCTTGGCAGTGGGTGCGTAACGCTCCATGAAACGTTCACCCTCGGAGTTCAAGAGGTAGCCTCCCTCGCCACGACAACCTAATGCACGTTCAGCCACGAGAAGGCAGATATCTCATAGAAAAAATGACCCTCAGAAATAAGGCAGCCAGCGCCATAGATACCAGTTGGATGGAACTGAACAAACTCCAGATCCTGCAAAGGAAGCCCGGCACGAGCAACCATTGCATTACCATCACCCGAACAAGTGTGTGCGCTCGTGCAGCTGAAATACGCACGACCGTAACCCCCTGTCGCGAGGACCGTTTTGTGAGCCCTGAATCGGTGGAGCGTACCGTCCTCCATATTAAGCGCGATGACTCCAACACATTCGCCATTCTGCATAATCAAGTCCAGCGCAAAGTATTCAATGAAAAACCTTGTGTTGTGTCGAAGCGACTGGCCGTAAAGGGCGTGGAGGAGGGCATGACCGGTACGATCGGCAGCCGCAGCACAGCGGTATGCTTGACCGTCTTTTCCATAATTCAAAGAATGACCGCCAATGGCACGTTGGTATATCTTCCCATCCCTAGTACGAGAGAATGGAACGCCATAACGTTCAAGCTATAAATGGATATAGGTCGAACAAACAGGTATGTGTGATCCCCTACCTCAATAACTGACCCGGGAGCTTCGCGACACATATAATGAATAGCATCCTGGTCACCAAGCCAGTCAGAGCCTTTAACCTGTGGAAAATCAGCTCAATTACATGACTGGGGAGCATAACACATCAAAGGACACGAACCGTGTCATACATGTGCCATCGCCAGTCGTCTTCCGTTATGTTCTATAGGAAACATCAGTGAGAAGACCGTAAAGAACTCGAGGTATACTTACACCTAGAGCAGCATTGATACCACCCTTGGAAACGTGATATATGAGCATGTCAAACACTGCTGAATATCGATGCAACATACCTGTGCTGCGACAGTATGGCTCCGGGTTGGGAATAGCTTGGTGATGCAAGCCGTATTGAAGCCAGCTTCCGCAAGACCGAAGGCAGCGCGAAGGCCCGCACCACCAGCACCACTATAGTGACACGTTCTTAAGTTTGTCGATTTCTTATTAGTTCGGAACGCTACTCACACGACGATAGCATCGTACTCGTGTTCGATAAGAGGATAATTGCCTGAAGACCAGGACTGAAAAGCCGTTAAGATGCCGGAAAATACATGGCAACTGCCAGAGATGTGTACCTTGGCGTCACGGTCCTCTGCCTTGATCGGATTAGTCGCAACGATTCTCTTGACGGGGAGTGAAATGGAAAACCCGCGCTGGGGACGAAGCAAAGCCCTAGAAGGCACCACCTTGGATACTGACTTCCTAAACATTGATGTGCACCGTCGTCGACGGCAGCGAGGATCACAAATGAATGGGCAACTTCCACAGAAAGGTAGGTAATTTCGTCAGCCGAAAACGTTCACGGCACACCATTTGGACAAATCCCGTATTTAGCCTAGGCCCTATACATGTCGCGATCAAGTGACTCAAGTCCAACCAATCACAACGGGAGTGTACGTAGCAAGAGAAGTCACCAACTTCCCAACTAGTTCAGATTGCGCATGTTTCCCAAAACCCCTCATCTTGACCTCGCGAACAGGCATCCCCGCCGCCTCCCTGATCTGCAATAGTTGGAGTAGCAACGACCACTCGAACTGCATATCATCAAACAAAAGTGTCCGCAAATTCGGGAATGCATCTCGTCTCCCCGCACATGACAGGAAGCCCATCAACTGGTTCACGATACACTTCGAGACTGAGAGAGTCGTTATGCCTGAGAATGCGTGGGCAAGGGCATGCCACCCGTCGTATGCCATGAACCTGCTACACAATGTGAGAAGGCGTACAGAGGGGAAGGGCGGTGCTCCACGGTTCAGCTTGTCCACGAGCGACTGGAGATCACGGGATGAGGTCGCAGTGTGGAAATCCAATACCAGCTCGCGTAGCGCGGGGGCGCGTATTGCCCGGAAGATGGTAGGCATATACGTCCTGGAAATATTTGGTCCGGGTTTGAGGATCATTGTCTGGAGTAAAGGTAATTCAACGACTGGGATATCCCTGCTGCGAACATAATCCACTGGTTCACCGATCAACGTGAGATGAGTCAGCGAAGTGAGATGAGAGAGCAGGTTGCTGAAATTCTCAGGGGAAAGACCGGAAACCCACAAGCCATTTAAGGTGAGCGCTGTAAGGCGGTCTGCAGACAATAACAAGTCTGAGGAGATGGATGAGAAATTTCCTAGTTCAATAGACGTGAGTGAAGGCAGACCTTCGGTGAACAAGAGATGTCTGCTATTCGGGATGTCAAGCGGATAGTGCACGATAAGTTCTTCTAGCATTGGTGCCCTTATGTGCTTGAACCCATCTAGAAGTTTTGGGAATGGGAAAGCCCCGTGAACTTCCAAGCGGCGACAGACATGAATGTGAGAAAGAATAATGCAGGATATGCGCAAGTAATCTGGGTCAAACTCAGGCAAGCCCTGATTGTGAATGCCAGTGAATCGCATGTCAAGCAGCTGTCCTTGCGAGCGGGTCAAGTAAAGATTGACGAGATCTACATTCTGCCGGAGGAAAAGTCGAATGTCTGTCCAAAGCAACGGCATCCCGAGCGCCACAGCCCTCCAATGCTGTGAAACACTCGCAAGCAGAAGCTCAGGCCTGGGGCGGAGGCGTAGACTGGTGGGGACGCATGAAGAAGAGGAGTCTTCATCTGCTCTAGTTGCTTTGACTGTCTCTACAAATATCATCTCGAGGAGCTCGTTTGGAATAAACGAGATATACGACACGCCATATGTCACTAGTGCCTGGTTGAGGCGCAGCGCCAATGGTCGCTTTGTCTTCCCCGGCAGTCTTGCAAGGTCTTGCGTCATAGCGACACACTCAACTTTGGGTGTTATGTTCCTAATCCACCAATTTCATAAGCATGCACATACACAAAGCAGGTCCGACACTCACATTGTTCCCCTCCTGGTAGTCTTGGTAGAAGAGAGGCTGGTTAGTTGTTCTCAGCATTAAGAAACCACGCGTTTTATAATATACGATAACATGCAGGCACCGGGTACCTATTTCACCCAATCACCAAGTGACACCGGACTTGATGAGGCATATCTCCAGGGCTGGCTTAGGGGGACGGAGACGAAGAAGCGGCAAAACGGGCTCAGTGAAACTTGTTATCTGCGACATGAAGGTTCTACTTTTACGTGAACTTTGGTGGAAATGAGAGCAACAAGCGGCATATTCCGTGAACTATGACTAACCCTGGAATGGGCGCTTTAACGACCCTACTGCGCCTGCACCGCCCTTTATAGGGACGCTCATTAGTCTCACACAGTCAACGCCCATATGACAGTCTCCTGATTCAATAACCGTCATACAGTAATTCTCTGAAGTTCATGCTGTGGCGGTAGGAATATGATCTTGATTCATCGCCATTCTTCAACATATGATTGGTCGGATTCTTCAAGCTTAGTACCCTCTTGAGGTGTGGTCTCCATCGCAGACTCAAAGATGACGTCTCACGGAAAGCATTTCCTTCAAGTTCGGATCAAAGCTGCGCCGGACTTCTTTTCCGCAGGTGCTTCGCGGTCAGACTTGTTCCTTGAACAGAGACACATCCGAGGGCACCGCTTGTTACCCAATCAAGTGCGCACACAGCAGCCTACGACATGAAACATAATTAGCAGCCGAGGCTGCGGAGCATGGACCGGTCTTCCAAACTCAGAGTTGGAATAGCTATTTGAGGCGCGCCGCCATATTGGTGAGCCACTGCAGCAAATCGAGAGCGCTGTATTGGCAGGCTTGCCAAACGGAACGAACCGTTGGCCTTCCGACTTCACCGTACAAGTACCACGCAAACAGCGAGCCACGCCACATCCACTGGAAAGAACCGTTCTCTATCAATGGGTTTGTGGCAGTCCGAGTTCACTGAGCGACTGTGAGGTCACCCTTGTGACCTTAACAGCTGTTGCTAACCTATACGCCATGTACAGTCCTCTTGGAACCACTACGTAGCAACGTAGCATCCATAACTTGACTGAAAACTCTTCATTAATCTCGATAGGTTGTGGGCAGGCACATGAGGTTACTATATCCTCATGTTGGATCTTACCAAGTCTTGGCACGGTGCACAGTTTTGCGAGGATTGCGCCTTATTGCAATGGGACATATTCACTTGTTCATGGGAAAGGAAGCAACACCATTTGATCACTTCAACGAGGGAATATACCTACTCGTCGATGTCACGGCTTGCTGACGAGTTAAGTTTATGACCTTTTGTGACTCGCTTTCAAGTTCGGTGTCTTACAGGTTGTCTCCAGGGATAATGGCGTGATGATGGCTGTGAGACCCAGGCTGATCTACTCATTCCAAATGTATGCTCAGTCCACAAGTTCTCCACAACTGTTCATCCATCGACTTCTGGCTGCGTCACTACAGACGTGCTTTTACCGCCGGTCGTTACACTGATCTTATTGTCCCGTCAGCTGCTTAATGAAATTTCTAAATGTTCTCAGGATTTCTCTTCCTGGGGAGATATCGTTGAGTTCTCCCATCCATCAAAGAAGAAGAAGAAGCTTGCGTCAGTTTCTCCCGGAATGAGGTGTCCGTTATGATAATGGTGCAGTCACCTACCAAGAAACTAAAGTGAATGGAATTTACCGGTACTGCGCACCGCAGCCACCCCTGAGAAGTTGGCACTCGACCTGTTCTCAACACGGGTTTCCCATGTTATGGGGCGTTCAACAAACTGTGAAGCTCACTATTATTTTCTGCAACAAACGTTTGCCCGTTTGGATCGCGATCAGCATCGCCTCGCCCAGACGTTACTGTAGGTTTATTGTTTCCAGTCAGGAAAAATTAACATCCCTAGCTTCCACAGGAAATTATCTATGGAATACCACCAACGTTCTGGGTGCAACAAGTGCCCAGGCATCGTAAGCTTCGACTTGCGTTTTTTTTTTGAGGAGTGGTCTAGCGTTCTGCAAACGGCCGTAAAGTTATGGTCTTTCCCATTTACTACACAAGGCTGGGTGTGTTAGCGGGAAACTAGTATCGGCCATTGTCGGTACCTGTAAGGAAAAAATCAATGCCATCAACAGATGCTTGGGATGCACAGATAAGGAACCTGTATCATAGATCGTCAGGCATGTGCGATCAACATCGTTCCAGTGGGCAACATCATGATGCTGACTCCAGCATTCTTTTTTAACAAGGATGCACTTGTTGGTAAATGAAAACTCGACTAACAGACATGCCGTGACTGTTCCAGCAAAAATTCTTTCAATATGGAGTGTGTTTTGGTGACCCTGAAGTTGTCCGATGCCGACATGTAGGTGATTGTACGCACAATCGATTTGCGATCAAAGTGCAAGGTTGAAGGCTGCATTTATTTCGAACCCAGAATTCGGTACTAGTACGTATGGGTCATACCTCCCGCTGTCTACTATCAATGAATGACAGTACTTATTACAAAAGAATGTAAATCGTTGGCTAACCCTGCGTAGTGTGCACAACGCGACTGATCCGTCAAGAATAGGTTAAAGTTCAAGTTGACGACTGCATTAGAGTGTGAGAGAGGCGAGACATGAAACGATGTAGTGAGAAGTGGTCAAGTGATTGGACCAAAGTCGCGTAAGAAGACCTTAGCGGAGACTAGCGGAGACTATAGTGTACACTTCCTTTGGCAGTGACGAAATATTGCGCGCGCTTTACGGCCACCCATCATGTCCTTGTCCCCATCTGCAGCAACATCAAACATCTCAGATATCCCATCTAAACGGCGCAGGACGCACAGTCTTATCGCACAAAATAGCAACAACAACTTGGATCATCAAGACATGAGCCAATCTCCTGCAGACACAGCCCATTCGTCACAACCGCCGCAAGGTGCCGCACACATACCCAAGAGAGGCGCAAGAGCTTGTACCGCTTGCAGGAAAGGTAAAAACAGATGTGAAGGAGAGGTACGTCTATTCAAAACCCGCTTGCGATCATCCCCCCTCTGCTCACTGGCCCGCCTCTCCCGCCCCGGCCCGGCGTCACATTCTTTAGGCTCCTTGTCGTCGATGTCAGTTGAGTGGAACCGCTTGTGTGTTCGAGAAACCAGAGAAGAAAAATACAAATGCTATAACTGGCGCCAGTGTCGAGTAAGCTTCAGATCGGGCGAACTTGTGCCATCATCACTTACACCACTCAACAGGCGCTTGTCTCGCCTCGAGGGTCAATATCTGGTACATACTCAAAGCCTATATTTTGAGGTTATCTGACAATTTGTATTCTAGGTTATGCAGAGTCAGATGATTGGCATGCAATCCTCTTTGGACCGCATCTTATCCACGGTTCAAAGCCAGGCCTACGGTACTCAACAACAAGGGTATACTGGGGGTATGACTTCCGGGTCCAGTCGCGATGGCTCTGGATTTACTATGTCACGCAACGGGTATGATGCACACGGACATGTGGGAGGCCAAAATTCTCAGCCACGCTCCCAAACGAGATCATTCCCGCCACTTCCGGGATTCGCTCCACCGGTTGGTCCGCTTGTGAGATCAATCTATAAACATATCTGATAAACTTTTAGCCTCACAAATACGCAACTTATGGAATTGTGCCCAGTACTACACCATCATCAGATGACGAGTCGGAGGAAACGCTACCTCGTGCCTCGCTCAACGCGCCTATTGAAGCTCTCCAAGGTTTGGCAAATGCTGCCGCAGAAGCAGCCGCTGCGCCATCTGCCTCTCCCCCGAGGTAGTTTCATATTTGTGAGGTGTACGATCATACTGATCACTTACAAAGCAGGGTCAAAAAACGCCCGCGGGTGGAGCCCATTCCCCGGAATGCATTTCCGCATGTCATTGAAAAGGTGAGTTGACGAAATACTGGGCTTCTGCGCAGGTCATAACGCTATGGTCTAGGGCCTTGTTTCGGAAAGTGAGGCGCGGGAGCTCTATCATATGTAGGCATTTCGTGGATATGATCTTGCTCCATTCTGATTCTTGTCGAAGTTTTTTCGCTGGTTGCCACGTCTTCATACCTTTGTTCGATCCGAATTATGACACATTCGAGAGCCTGATGGAACGCACTCCGTGGACATTTGACGCGATACTTGCCATTGCAAGCAAAATCAGGAGTGGCAATGGGCCCCTCAGCTCAACGTTCTACAAGTGTCTAGAAGAAGCACAGGGCATTTCCCGTTCGTCATTATTTGGCCCGGTAGTGAGGAAGGAAGCTGTTATGGGTGAGAATTTCGTTTTGTATGTTTTGCTGCACCATGTCTGATCAGTTTCATAGGGATGCTACTTTTAGCTGCATGGAGTACAAACGGATGGCTCCCTAGTGGACACGCAATGCGGATGGCGTTAGATCTTGGTCTTCACCGAGCATTGGAGAAACTTGCTGATGATTCAGGGAAAAAACGCACTGAGGAAGAGGAACGTGACCTGGGTATGCATAAGAGTAACTGTCCAGTTATCGTCCAGAACTAATGACGATCCTAGTCGTGTCGGCGCGTATCTGGCTATGCCTGTACTGGTTTGATCACCAGTACGTCGAAGAATTTTGGCATCTTCATTGTATCTCAACAGTCTTTTCCAGGATGAGTCTTGGCACCGGTCGCCCTATTGTACTGCGAGACGAGAGCTCCATTCGACACTGTCGTATTCTTCTGTCGCATCCAATGGCATCACCAACGGATGTAAGGCTGATCTCGCAAGTGGAGCTCATCGCTCAAAAAAGTAAGAAAAATTCACGAGGAGATATTAATACCTCATTCGTTATTTGTAGCCCAGATTTACGAAACTCTCGCGCCCCTCAATGGGCAGGTTAATCATAATACGCTCGCCTTTATTCGGCGTGCAAATGTTGCACTCGACAAGTGGTGGCAGGACTGTGACAATCTTCATCGTTCGTAGTTGACTTTGTCCTCTCTACGTTCCTGATCGCCTACGCAGGCCAGACAATGGACGAGAATTCTCTTCCGAGAAAAATACTCGTCGGAGAATTACACTACGCCAAACTCTGGCTCGTCTGCGTAGCTCTTCGAGGTGTATCGTGGGATAAGATGCCTTTTGAGCAACGTGAACTTGCGTTCCAGGCGAAGGATGCGGCTTTTAACTGCCTTTCTATCTTCCTCAACTCTGCTGAATACCGGTCAGTTTCTGTTTTGATCGGTGCTTCACTTGGATGATAATCACGATGATCACAGAGCGGCCTTGAGATATGCAGTCCACGACAGTCTCGTAACGGCAGCATTTTCTGGTCTCTTCCTACTCAAGATGGCAAACTTGTTTCCTGCAGAGCTTGACCTTACCGCGATCACAGCGCAAGTCGAACAGCTTGCACAACTTCTCTCTGATGTTGCAGCCGAACGGTGCGATTCCCCTGTTCTTTCTTTTTTTTTTAAAAATTAATCCCCGCTTCTAGCTACGCCCTAACGCTACGTATAATGCTTGCCAATCTCCGGCGCAAAGTTGGGATGATTACAGGGCTGAACGCATCTATGAACACCATGCCCCCACAGATCTTGAATGATGGGATTGTTACACACGGCCCAGGGCCTTACATTGATCCATCGGGATCTGCGCCTTTCACAATGGAGGAACTGGGTTTCGCATGGCCGAGCGAGCGTGCCACGTTCAGCCCGAGTGCGATACCTACGTGGTTGCAGGAGAAGAACCTGACGGACCTGGGACTACCTGTCAACGGGAGCGATGGAATCTTTATGGATGTAAATGGCATGCATGGCTGGAGTGGAGACTTTGCGTCGATGCCAGGGGCATGGTGAGGACGCGATTGTACATATGGCAGCGACGATTCCGCGCACTGAGGGCTGGTGATATGCACTATTTTTGTCTGGTATTCTGTCTCTATTGGTTTTCCTTGCTCGCTTTGTTCGCTTGTGTCCGCTCTTGCCTGCTCATGCTTTTTCTTGCATCAGTATTGCTAATGATATCCTACGATTTAATGTGTATCACGTGCTGAACAAACATACATTGCGAATGTGAATTGTCCTACAGTGCACATACAGGGAGAGAAGATGGATAGCAACGCGGAAATACACATCTAATTGGAGAGCGTATCAGCCTATAATTTACTCTTCGTCTTCGTCTTCTTCGCTTTCTTCCTGCTCCTGAAGGAACTGTCAAAGAACAAGTTTGGTGCGTGATAAGACGGAAGGGGAAATTTATTGACAAACCTTGACCAGGCCCTCGGTGGCCTTCAGGAAGTGTTGTCTTCCTTGCGGCTTAGACCCCTTTTGGTGCCAGTAGATGATCGCCTGGTCAGAAACGCAGTCCTTATTGTACAAAACCTGTGCGAATTAGTAAGTTATAAATGTATTACTGCACCATGGTGTTCATATCTAAACACACTCGGAAAAGGGGTGGGATACAAGCGATAGGATCTGGTGCCTACTGCCGAATAGGCCGACATCACGGGCGCAACGTCACATCCCAAAGGACCGGCGACAGACGAACGAAAGTAGTAAGACTCGAAACACACCTTCAGGATCTGTGGGAAGGCTTTCATGACACGTGTGTCGTCATAACAGTAGACCTGTACGATATTGATCAAAGCGACCTGGGTTTTGGGACCTTTACAGAAGGCCACGAGAACTGGGGCAAATTTCTACAGACGGAAATGATGTCAATGGAAGGTTCAACGATAGGAGAACCGGATCACTCACCCCGACCTCACGTAGTGCGAGGCCTTCTATCTGGTCAGGGCGTGCACTCCAGTCTACGGAAGCCATAAGGCCCTGCCAGATGCTCTGTATAAGTTCCGCCTCAGGGAGCCGCTGCTCCTCTAGTTTACTTTGGATTGCAGATATGATCTATGTGAATCATGAGTTGTATGACTCGAAATGGGTGATACATGTGTAAAGATGACGCACTGATTCACTATCATCGCTGCGTTCTACCACCTCCTTTAATTCCTTCATGATTGCGTCTTTCGCGATCGCATATTGCTTCTTCGTGTACCAGTCGGCCACGGTAGGGAGGTTTTTCTCCCGGAAGAAAGCATCGAGAACTTTAGCGTCCCTCTTGTTTGGAGGGAAGAAGAGGAGTAGATCTTTGATATTGCCGCGTTTGAGGGTTGCAGCAAGGTGATCGATCGACTGGTCGGTGAGGTATGCGCTAAAGACCAACGCAAGGATATTGATGGACTGGTCTACAGACAGCCGATGAGATTCTTGCAGTCCAGTATGGTGTAGTGCGTGAGCTTACCGTTCTTGACGAGGTGATCCTTGGTTAGACTCTGCAGACAAGCTGCGGTCACGAGGCCCTGCGAAAGAAGGAGACCAAGTGTCATGGCGAGCTTGTCGCGTTGCTCGGATGACCAACGGCCGATGTACTGCAGGAGAGTGGGGAGACTTTGCTCCTCGAACGGTTTCTGAAGATATTTGAACCTATATTCATGATTAACACCGCATGCACAATATATTACGCGGGACCACAATCGCATGCACCTTCGATTCAATTTGTTAAACACATCGACATACTTCTTCAACTCTTCGAGGTCGGGCGGATTGCGTGCGTTGAAAATAGAGAATGGCGACATGGGCGCGCCATCATCGAGATATGACCCACCCGGCTGGATGAGCCCGCCGACAAGGAGGATCTCAAACAAGGCGTCGGCATACTTGAGATACTCGAGCGTCCCACCAGCCTGTACAAGTTTAGCGCTGAATCCCTCGAAATCGTTTTCTGGAACTGTTTCAAGATGTTTGTAGAGTTGGTCTCTAAAGGCTAGATGTCGACATAAGTAGCATGATAGATTGATCGGAACTTGCTAGTCTCACCCGCTGGCTCGTGCTTTGCCTGTGCTTTGACTTGGCCTTTGCGTACTTTTGTGCGAACCCCCTGGAGTGAAGGCTTTGGGACTGCTGATTGCTGAGACATCCACAGTCTGCGAGCGATGTCGAGAGCGTGGATCAGACGATGAAATTGGGCTCAGCTGCAGTTTAACAGGACCCAACAAAGTGCTTGTTCGGTCGGAGATATCCGACTGATCAACATCGATGAGCATGTCTCTTATCATAGTCGATTTCTTGCACTCTTATAATATGTAAGAAGTATGAGATCGCAGCGTCAAAATCAAACAATGTGCCCTTCAAGCACTTGAATCATTGTCGGCGCCAACCCCGCCCATGATCATCTATTATACTTAGTCTGGCTAGGCCTGGGGGAGACTAGATGCGAAACGTGTTAATCAGTTCCCAGGAGCAACATTGTCGCCTGGTGAACTTTGGTTTTTCCAGCAGACCTTCTATGAGGCGTGCACCCATCGAAGTCGCCGGTGACAGTTCGATTGAATCTGAGTTGTCCGGGTTTGCAGGCGCGATGCCAATATTATAGTTGTGAGGGTACCTGTTCATGGTCAATTGTAATCTGTTCAATGATCTGCCTGTCCGATGAGCGCTAGCTGTGAAATAGTAGCTGCAGTACTTCATTCAAGTTGTGACATGATCACGGCAGTTTAGACTCATCCGAGTCATGCATCATTGTGGATTCAACTCACGTGAGAAGTGGATCATCCGAGTCGCCGACTCGCGGCCCAAGCGAGTCCCTTAAGACCAGCCAATAGCTGTACTCCTCTTCACTTTTTATCATAAAAATTTCGGGTATCAGCCATCCCGACGACAGTGAGTGACATTCGTTGTCATCGTTGATGACATCTGATATCTATGAACGTATTCTTGCCGTAAAGGAGCCTGCGACATCGCTTACCGGTCGCCTTAACGTATGTAATCATTCCAGCACAACACTTTGTTGACCCTACTGAGCTACTTGTCGATAAGATCGGTCAACTAACGCGCAGCACGAACTCCATGAATCTGCGTTTCACAGACTCCCCAAATGCGCGTTCAAAATCAATTACGACTGCCGATGGCATCGACACTTTTGGTGTGCGTACTATTCATGCAGTGACACTAGTGACCGCATCAGGGAGACTCATTGTACACCTAGATCTTGAATCAGCACTCTACAGGAAACGGTGCCTACCAGGTTGGTGTATCTGAGGATGTGGGTACACGACGATATATGGAAGATGCTCATTCTTTCGTCGTCGACTATGCTGGTGTGCGAGGCCAGGGATTCTTCGCTATTTTCGACGGTCACGCAGGAAAACACGCAGCTGAGTGGTGTGGCGCGCATTTTCACGAGGTTCGTATAACCACTATATCTTTGTGTTAATTTAAACGCGTGATCATATGCAGTACCTCCTCGACGGACTCCGCACTTCCTCCAGCGCCACTATTCCGGACGTTCTAAATGAAACATTCCACAATGTCGACAAACGCATTTCTCGCCTCAGCGAAGAATCCGATGGCAAGATCCACTCAGGATGTACAGTTGTGACCGCCTTTCTTCGCATCGAGGATGCAGATGGACGGCAATCCTTTCTCCCCGTGCCTCCACTTTCCCCGCCCTCCCCTACTGACAGCGGGAGCCGCAGTGGCAGCGAGTCTCCGACAGAACCTACAGATGAATCCAAGGAGACAGGCAAGAAAGCAAAGAGCAAGTCCCCTGCTTCGGCTTCCCGTTTCGCCAGGGCGCTAAAATCCCTGGGCGGCTCTTCGCCAGCCTCACCCTCACTCCCCTCCGCATTCTCCGCTACACGTAGCCAGACCTCTCCACCTTCGGTGCAAACATACACAGTTCCAATTGATGCACCACTCAACTCACGGCGCGTGCTATATACTGCCAACGCTGGTGATGCGCGTGGTGTACTCTGCCGCGCAGGCCGGGCAGTGCGCCTCACCTACGATCACAAGGGAAGCGATAAGCAGGAGGCGAAACGTATCACCGATGCTGGTGGATTCGTTATGAGTGGGCGCGTGAATGGTGTTTTGGCGGTAACGCGCAGTCTTGGAGACAGCAGCATGAAAGAATATGTCGTTGGGAGCCCGTACACGACTGAAACCGAGTTAGGAAGCGACGACGAGTTTGTGATCCTCGCGTGTGATGGGGTAAGTAGCCTCGTTAGGTGCCTTTGCTTCGAAGAATTCATTATCGTGTGACCCTGTAGCTTTGGGATATCACGGGCGATCAGGGGGCGATTGATCTCGTGCGGCATATTTCGGATGCACAAGCAGCCGCAGAGACGCTCGTGAAGCATGCCCTTGAACGACAAACCAATGACAATGTCACTGTCCTCGTAGTGCGATTTAAAGCGTCGGGATCCACAGATTCCATGGGACTTGCCTGAGTATGGGGATGTTGATTTACTGTTCTACGGGGGAGGGGGGCAAATGAGGGGTGTTGTTTTTGCCGTGGCCGACGTCTTGCTGTTGTTTTAGTTGGTTCTTGTAATCGCTTCATTTAGCGCACGAGCATTCCGTTTATCTTGACTGCACCCCGTACTCTACTAATATCAGTTCAATGTAGATTTGATGTGTGTCAGAGCTGATCGATATCCGTGAATTGCCGCACAACACAATGAGATGCAGCCCATCGCATATGGCGTTGGCATCATGAAGTTCGTATTATAAACAAGAGAAAGATAGCCATTAGCCCATTATATATACAACCATACGATAGTTTACGCGCAGCCGCACATACTGTAAGTACTACTGTGTACATTTGTGTATGGTCAAATAGTGTAGGTGCCAGTGATGCTTCAAGTATGGCCTAGAGGTCGGACCATAGTTCAAAGCTCCGCTCCTCTACGACGCTAAAGCCATCAATGATGCTGTTGACTAGCTCCCACTGTTGCTTCACTGACTTCTTCTGGACCATCGGGTATGCATCCCAACAATCAACCTTCTCCAAGTTGGGGAAAAGACCGCTGATGATGAGAGCCACGTTCACGGGGACCTTGACGGGTGAATTTCCGAGGGCGAGGAATTTGAGACGCTCATTGCGACATCCACCGCCGGGACGCTTGAGGTCTATGCCGTTTAACTTGGTGACATTGATGACAAGAGTGAGTGAAGTCAAAGCGGGACAGCGGCCAAGTAAAGTGATTAGCCCAAGGAACGTCGGTATTATGGGATCATCAGCGGGATAACATTTGATTTGGAGCACTTGGAGCTTAGGCCAGGCTGTTGCCAGCTGGCCCAGCTCCTTGTTGGACATGGAGATGTAGCAGACGCTTTCAATAAGCAGTTGAGTTAGATTGCGGCATGCGTATAATGGTGCGAAGATGCTCTGTCCTGTGTGTGTGTGTTCAGGATCATCTCCTTGGAGGCTGATAGATTCAAGCTTGTCGTTATCGCATCTCTCCTGGACGATGGCGAATAACCGGGGTATCGCTGTGAATTCATCCTGATCCAAGAAATCAATCCTGATTTCTTTGGTTCTGACGAACTGAAGTGAACTCAAAAAGTTCGAAGCTTGCTCGATTGTAAGAGTGGAAAGGCTCAACGATTGCAAATTATGAAAGCCGGGGAATGATAAGTCCACTGTCTCCCAAGCTGACGGTATTGTGAACTTCAAGCTCAGTGACTCCAGAACTCGCAGCTCCGTCAAATGCTCGATGCCTTGAATTCCTAGGTCACATACCGACAACGTGTGGAGATGGTGGAGCTGACAGATAGGTCGCGTGATGAAGGGCGAAGCATTGAACGATAGGATGTGGGTCCGGAATCCATAGTTCAAAGACATGTTCTGGAGGCGAGGACACGATGTCCCGAGGGAGGAAAGAGCCGAGAAAAAGGCGGAGGAAGCTGAAGGAATATCCATGTTCAAATCTAGTAGGGAAGGTACAAACACCATGCGCAAGAAGTCTGCAGCACAGTGGGTTCCACTGGCATACCATTTTAATTTGCGGAGGTTCGGAAACAACGACGCAGGTGCCGAAGAACAAGATAGTATGAGTAAACAGAGGGGGTTGATGGCTTCCATGTCATCCGGTACAGTAATTGAGCGCACGCGGGACGTGTATTTGAAAAGAGTATGCCACATCCTATCGTCAAGAGGTTCCTGTAATGCCTGCGTAAATGAACTTAGTCGGAAGTTCACAATCATATGAAAGTGGGACACCTACAACACCTCCTTCATCAGAGCCAAACAGTTCATCCGGTAAGCATTTGACAAGGGGCTTCACAGATTCCAGATCCCGCCACAGTGCATTAAGTGCTGGGTGCTCAAATGCGCGGCATGTGGATGCAAGTGAAGGAAGCGAACTGTGTTTCACGTATGAGGTAATCGTGCATATTATTTCGAGATTTTGGAAAGCTGGGTGCATAACTCAAAGATACTGTGATGGATATATGATAGATCTGAGTGGGAGGACAAGCTTGCAAAGTTACATTTGGTTTTGTTGCCTCATTTTACCGCAGGCGTGTAAAACGCGAGTTCACGAAACCCCCGCAGGCTTGGCGCTGACCCCAGACAGCGCACGCTCGTCATGGTCGGTGACGTACGGAGGTCTGTGGGCAGTGAGGAACCCGGCGGGAAAAGATATGAGGGCGGGGGGTACCTGGAATCGACAGATGGTTGAAACACGTGCCGTCATCGCGAAAACGGCACCGTACCCGATGAGATGCTAAACTCTCTGAACTCTCATGCACATGGGGGACGCCGTTTTCATCCGGGGAAAACTCGAGAAGTACTTTTGTAAATCGGCACACGGAGATACGCCAAACATCTTTTTGAGGTGAAAAAATCACGCCGAGGGTAAACTGTACATAGCTACTAGCTACGATCTTTCCGTATCGAGAACGACTCGGCAACAAGTGTTTTCCTTCCCGTGCCCCAGCTCGATCTAAACGTTGAGCCTAGGCACAACCTTGCTTCACACAGGTGTGAGGACATCCGGTAACCCATAAGGCAAGTTATTTTCATGCATGACATGACTTAGACAGAACCACTAAAGCTTTAGTGGGCGTCATGGATTGCAATTACTATCAGCGCTAAGTATTAATAATCGCATCGGTCACATCAGTCGACCACTCTATTGACACCATTACCACTTCTTCCTCATTTTCAGAGCTTTCCAGCGTCTTCAAGTTCAATTGGCCATCCAACATCGCAGCCTTCATGAAATGCCCCTGGCGCAGCACATCTCCACATACATTTTCACCACAATACGTGACTGCCATCCTCTTCAGACAATTGTGTCCGTGGCTGTGGGATGGCGTTCGTGTCAGCCTGCTGGGCCTCATATTGCGAAGCCAGCTTCACGATTGCCCCCCTTTGATATGCACGGCCGCTGTCCGAGCATTACATTCGGCTTCAGTGGGATTGGAGGCTTCGCCGTGACGAGCATGGCAACTACTACTGCCAAGGACATCTTTGGCTCCGAAGGCGCCGACAAGGGGTTCATCTGTGCCAACGATTGACTGAAGATTTTGACCTGACTTCGGGCGACCGTCAGAGAATTCAACTGCATCTGTTTCCTTTTGCAGTTTTTTCTTCTTTTTCCTTGCCCTTGTATTTCACCTGGAATGGGAAATCCGACGGTACAGGCAGCCTTCTGGTCTTGGCTAGTGATGACGCAGTTGGCGCCATAAAGGTAGAGGTGCGCGCTTGAGTCGTGCCAGTGATTGTACCTCTTAATTTGCCAGTCTTCGTGCTGGTGGAAGATACACTTCCTGCGTTATTTTTTCGCGAAGCAATCCTGAGCGACGAAGCGGAGTTCCTCCTACTATGGCTCATCCTACTTGTTGTCCCTGAAGCAGGGAACAGAGGAATTGGAGATTTTGACGTGCAAGATGATGTTAAATCGAATACTGATATCGACTTACGTGTCTTCCCAGTGATTTGAACGGGCCCAGCGGCACTTTTTCGCTTGCCCAAGACAAGTGCAGCTTGTGCATTAGATGATTTCACACGTGCACAGTAAGTTGTGATTTTCTCCATGTTCTCGAACTGCACTTCGTGCGCTCTATCGAATAGCCCGCTCGCATCAACTTTTTTCTTCTGCGGGTCGTCTGCAGTGGACTTTCCTGACATAGACTGTTGCCGGTGCCCAAGAATGCCAATGTTCATGCTTGTGATGCTCTCCAATTCAAGGATTGCGGAAGCCGACGATTAAGAGAGAAAAAGATAAAAGGCTCGGAGCGGTTTATGCCCAGGTCGCTTTCAAGTTGTCGAGATTCATAAGGTTAGGTGCATCATGAGGAGGAATGCAACGATACTTATTAAACAGCCAGGCTCGCGTCGTAATGCACCTGCAAAGTTCTATGAACATGTCTTTGTGCAATGTCAGGGGCTCCCGGACAAAGAACAAAGTCAGACGACCTCGTTCCTCCCTTTCAAGGGGAAACCAAGTTGTTAACCTGGCGCATCTCTGCCCTATTATTGAACTTGTTTGCATTGGGGAGACTTCCTGCTGACGAGCACGTTTATTGGGAGAACGAGGAGGGTTGTCTCCCTTGTACGATGCTCATGTGGGAGTGGGTAAATTTATTCTCTCTGACTAGGGTTACTGACGGTGACCTTGCCCTTTGGTGACCTTGCCCTTTGATCTACATACCCTTGAACTTTTGTACGTGTTTCAAACCGACTCTGTTGGCGTCATCATGTGATGTTCGTGTGGTTCATTGACATATGCATCTCCAGTACTCGGTACATTTTAAGGAGGAACCATCTTCTTTGTCTGTAGTATATTGTTGGACTTAATGTTTGGTGACGAGCTTGACTCGGAAGTAGCCGAACGAGTGGCTGAAACCTTAAATCATCGGTAGTACATACAGTAGTTATTTTTACATGTACCCTACGCGTTTGCAACGAGTTCACTGTGCTACGTCCTGCGCAAAATCCTATATATATGACATGCACATAAAATCCGATATCCTGATGTCCAGGCTCACCGTCTGCAGAGCTCGTAGCAGCACAAGTGATATGCCACCAGATGCCTTGTATTCCTAGTGGGTCCCATATCTCCAACTTACGAAGATGGTGGATCTGTAAAAATAGGCTGTATGATGAAGGGTGAATTGTTAGAAGACGGCTCATTGATTGCACGGCGATATCTCAAAGCCATGCCCCGAGGGTAAGACGAAAAGGTCGAGAGAAATTTGAAGAAATCCGCACGTTCAAGGACAATAGGGAGGGACATAAAATTCACGCGCAAGAACTCTGCAGCGCTGCGGGTAGTATTGGCATCCCATGTCAATCGACGGAGGACGGAAAACCAGGACACGGGTGCTGAAGGACAAGACGGTATTGTCAAATAGAGGGGCCCGACAAACGTTGGGTTGTCAGATTGTGTGATAGAGTGCACACGGGACGTGTATCTGGCAAAACTGTCCCAACTCCCAAGAGGGTTCTGTAATGCCTTGCTCACGTGAACCTTGAAGCTCACGATCATATGAAACTGATGTGTCCCAAACATTCACGATGCAAGTGCTGGACTGGCACGGCACGTGGATGCAAATACAGGAAAGGATTCATGTTCTGCGTGTGAGCTATCACTTCGAGAATTCGCACTAAGGCCGGATTAATAACTTGGCAAGCCTTGTATATGAAAGTACTAGATAAACCTGCAAGAACTGTATTTTTGTTGAGAGTTTTTATGGAAAGAGTTAACACTTATCAGCGCTTCGACGCCACATGCTACTGTCCTTCTGGATCCTCGAGAGCCCTCGCACCTCAATCAACCATTCTATAGACCCCGTCGCCACCCGCTGGCACCCGGGGCTTTCCAGCGTCTTCAACTGGCTATCCAACATCGCAGCCATCATGAAATGCCCCTGGCATTTCATTATTCGGCCCGTGGGCACCTCCCGCGAGCCTTTCATCGTCGGAAGCTTTCCCGAGTGTTGCGATGCCTCTGCTTCCAATATAATTTCAGCCCTTAACATTGAGTGGTAACTCCCCTTCAACGCCGAACACACGATAATGATCCTCGGCTTCTAATCTTCATCCCTCACAGGACTCGGCTGCTCACTACGCCCGATCATGCCGCGCTCGTCCAGCGTCTTCTCCGTCTCGGACATGTCATCTAGCTCCGCATGCAACTGCTGACATGGACAGCTGTCTTGTGTTACTGACCTACTGACAGCTGCCAAGGCTGGTGGTCTGCGTCCAAGACGTTCTCCACGCGACATCGGGCCGCAGATGGTTATCGCCATTGATGAAGGGGAGATGAAGAGCCCTTTGAAAAGCGTGGTGCCGAGAGTAGAATTGCAATTGCCTGTACCGAATACGCTCTGATGTCAATGGTGAGCATGTATTACAGATTGATGCCCTAGTACTGGAAATTGCAATTAGTCACCAAGGAAGTAGACATGACACGATTCACTACCAGAAATATCGTATGGCTCATGTCTCGATTAGCAATAGCTGTATGCATGTTTATCACCTCCGTCCTCGGTTTATGTCGGCACCTCGGAGCACACGTAGATGGTCGGACGATCATCAGGAGGAGACAGGATGAATCAAGATGGTATCGCCAGATGCGACTGAACCAGTACCCGAAGGTCGGTGTAGTTGCGCGTACAGATGATATGCTTTACACATTTGTTGGTTGACCGGATGCCTGCAAGAAAGGAAATTCCACGACTTGAGGACCTGATGGGTGACGATGACCGGTAAGCGGCGAGGATAAGTAGTACTGTATGTGTTTGGTGCTGCCTCGGAGCGAGAATCCTCAATCAACAATCAAGGAAACGAGATCAGCGCGACACGGGGTTGGAGGCTTTGCGGACCGTATATCCACTACACGAGTCAAATAATTCATATAGTGATATCCATCAAAAAAGATCAGCAATATTCTTGAGATGGACATACCGGTGACTTAGACTTGCTGTACGGCACGATGACACCGCGGTCCGTGCGCGTGAACGACCGACTGTCCATGTCAATTGTGATGACATGCACTGCGTTAGTCGTCGTCACTAGCTACTAGCAGAATACAGCAACTTTTGTTTTTGTACTCTAAACGACCATGGGAGAACACCACAGGGACAAAAACAAGAACGAACTTGAAGAGCGCGAGGCTGTAGCTGAACGTTACTATGCACGACGCACGTTGCCGCACAGGTCACGGGTATACTAGTTAAGGCTAGTATTCCTTGAGGAACCTTCTATAACATTCGGACTTGGCCCGCCGTCTAGATCCACGCGTCCGTCCGAGTCCCTGCAGGGGCGTGGTGATGACTGATCCGCAGTTGTAGGTATTCATAGGCGAGGCACATGTGGTCACTAGACGAGTCTGCTCGCCGCGAATGTCTCTCAATCCAATCGGTTCGACTTTTTGCTTCGAATGTCCGATACAGTCGTGGTTAATGGAGTTCCACCGAAGTATTCGATGACTAGACGACTTCGAATTTCGTCACGTCTCCCCGCGTTCAGCGCGGGTTTGAGCTAGCTTAGTTAAGGGCCTTTGGAGTCGATAGTATACATAGCTCCCCGGGGATTTGGCCACGTCCCTGGCTGCGATCCACGGGTATGGTAATCGTAAGCTGTAATGGGTTTCATAGGCAAGGCACATGTACGTCTCGTATCCTTTGGGTGACTCGGGTGGGACACCGTACGTGCAAGCTCGTGGCCTGACTCATATACAACGTAGTCATCAGCTCCCTGTTCCCCATAATTAGTCACCGATAACTATAGCCCCTCCGTTTGAAGAACAATCACACGGTATTAGCTACCGGTCTGAATGAAATCACCACATGATTCACAATGTCACCCATCATTTGCCAAGATACAAATCCATTGTAAAAACACGAGAGAACGTGTCTGTCTGTATGTATGCATCGGAATATATGTATGTAAGAGTGAGGTGAAGGTTGATATCAGCGTGTGGTGGTACGTTATGGCACGATCAATCAATCAGTTGAATGAGGATATCAGGTACATGGTCAGTTGGAGAAGGAATGACTGCTTAGCTGGCGAAATTAAAGAACAAAGATGGTCGTAAAAATAACAACAACAATGACTTGATAGATGGAAAAAAAATATGGCAAGTTTGGAATTAAATGCAAAGATATACTCCTGGAGGAATTGATCAGAATTTCGTCGCAAAAAAACTTTATCATTATTGGCGTCACGTATGATATATCCATAAACAGGAAAAGAACGACAGGGGTGTTTAACTGGGATGGGGGAGTGCGCGGGAGTGTGGGGGCTTTGAGAAGTCAATGGCGTTGTACGCTGGTGGAGCTTCTTCTAGGTCCGCGTGCTCCTCGACCGCGCGTCGGTGATGGTGCGCTCGGGTGATGTTACGCACCCACCCTAGCACCTCATCAGGATCCTTCTCTGGACGAATCCTACCCCGCGGTTGCTGTGCAGTTGATGGCCGCGTGGGCATCGTTGCTGATATCGGCGTTGAGACGACGTTGGACGAGTGGGTGTACCGATGCCCCGTGGAAGATAAGCGGGATATCGAGGCAGGTGTTGGGGGAAGCGTACGAGCCAATGTGGGAAGGCGTTTGGGTCGAGCAGGAGGTGAGCTAGTAGGGGATACGGGGTTTGAGGGGACGGTAGGTAGTCGGCGCCGAACGACAGATCCCGAAGAAAGAGCACGGCTGCGAGACGGAGGCGTTTCACCCACACTATCCATATCACTGTCTAGCACTGTCGGCGGGATGAGCACTCCGTCTTCCGTGACTGATGGAGTGTGCCTTGTTGTTGGGATGGATGATAATCGGGGTGACGATCTCGATCGGTGAAGCCACGGTTGTGATCCAGGAGGGGGGTGCCATGAAGATGGCGGCGCAGGAAGTTCTCGCCGTGTACCCGCACGTGGCGAGGGGGAAGGCTGCGATGACAGTGGGATGTAATCAGATACTGGGGTGGGTGATATTGGTGCAGGGGAAAAGCTAAGGGGAGTTGAATAACGGTTGTTGGTATTGATCCTTGGAGCGGCTCTTTCTGAGTCATCGCAAAATGTGGATGTATGGAATTCACTGGATGGTGCTGAACAAGGGGTTGCGGGATAGCAGACGGACTCGGAGGAGATGCTTGCAGAGTCCCATGCTGTACCCGGGCGTGGAGGTAAGTCGCTACCGTCTGCACTATGAGGTCGTAATGATGGGTATAACGGTTCGCCATATACAATTTTGCGCCATTGATTTACAGATGTAGGTGGGGGCGCTGTGCCGGAGATATCAAGTACATCTGCATCCTCATTACAGTGGGTATCGATTGCAGGGGTCTTGAGGGAAGGATATAGAGGTTCGCCATACATGATTTTACGCCACTGACGTGCAGATGCAGGAGCAGATGTGGATTTAGGAAGGGAGTCGGATTCTGTTGCTGGGGTATCGAGTGAATTTGGGTTGTGCCTTACAGTCATCCAATCGTCGGGCTCTGTAACGAGTAGTAGAGCGGTGACAAAGAGGTTATCGAGTAGGGAAAGGGATATTCCAGCGTGTTCTACTTGAGGAACTGATTGATGGACAGGACCAAGGGTTTCGAAAACTTTAAGTCTTGGATTGTTTTGGTCGTCTTGTATTTCGAGGGATGCGATCAGTCGCTTGGATGATGAAGATGTGCACTTATGAGAAAGTGTGAGCGTAAGCGGAAATAAGTGACGGAAAGGAATGTTACCTGATAAGTGCGACCAGTTCGCTTCCACTTTAACGTATGGGGATGGTTTGGTAAGGTGAACTTGCGTGAGCTGGTGAAACAACAAAAATGAATGATGAAGGATTTATGACATATGAAGAAGAGACATACTTTCCAAGGTTGCCATACTTGAGGTAGCTGTCAGTGTCTCTCCAACGAGGTTCACTCATCTGTATGATTGCACCGTGGGTATCCCTTCCTTTGCCCTTGAGAGGGAGATCCTTGGGCCAACAAATGTCTGCGATTTTTACAGAAGCGTCCCATGGATCTGAACGCCATATGGTAGTTGAAGAGCCGACTGTTTCTACTGAGTAAAGAGGAGTTTCCGCTACGAGGTCTGTAGCGACGGAATCTAGAAAAGAAGGAGAAGACAACTTGAGTACGAGAAGGGGTCTCTGTTGTCGGCGAGAAGCCATGTCGTCGCGAATTTCCAGGCGGTGTAGGTAAGGGAATATAGCTGATGGATTTGAAGTAGAGGGACCTGGGATTGGTGATGAAGGAGAGGTGGATTTGGATGTGGGTGGAAGAGAGAGACGTTGAACAGGTGGAGGAACGAAGGGGGAGAAAGACGGTTTGTCAGAATCACCGATGGAGAGGGACATAAGCGCCCGATGCATGGCAATGAAAGTGGGTAGTATGAATTTGGGATGAGTGACACTATAAGGGACTACAGCTTACACCTTCAATCTCAGCGGCCCGTTGAGATCATCCACGTAAGTTAATCAGTTGTCCGGGTGATGACCGAGCGCTCTTTACAAACTCCGTCGCGTCCAACGCGCTCTTTTCACACACAATCCTTATTATTATTCCCATCATGTCTACCGAACCCAGGTAAGTTCTAATGTACCATTTCAGTCCAAATTTCGAATATTCCTCTTAGATCTCCAGTAAAAAAAGACGCGACGAGCCCCATAAAGTCTCCCGAATCAAAGGGAAAAGGGAAAACAAAGGCTCTTGCTGAGGACGTGTCAATGGAGGAAGAGGAGGAGGAAGAGGAAGAAGAAGACGAGGAAGAAGGTGACGAGGAAATGGAAGAGGTACGACTTTCTTTCATTCATATTTTTTCATCACACTCACCGACACAGGAGGACGAGGAAGATGATCACGAGGAAATCGACCCCAGCGCAATCCTTCCTCGTCGCACCCGTGGCACACGCGTCGATTATACATCCGAGGAAGCCCTCAAAAAGGCTGGCCTCACAAAGGATGACCACGATGACGACGACGACGAAGGCATGGAACATTAAGTCTCTCACGCCCCCCAATTACTTTAATATTGTTATCGCTCTCCTATAGTCTTTGGTCAATTATTTTGCAGGGCGTGTGTGTAATATTGCCAGCTGCCAGAGGTATCGTTTCATCTTGAAATTAAATAAAAATTCACCTTGGTTGGCACTTTATTCGCATGTTCGAATCTGTATGTCCTCGCACGTTGCTTTACTTCAGTCACGCGCCATTGTGCCGAGCTGATGGCGGCCTCCAAGTACTGAAGGATTTTGCATGATTTGAATGTGGACCTGAAACCCCCCAAAAATACTAGTATTTGCAGGACTACTCGGCGCAGAGGCTCCCACAAAGTCAACCAAGTATCTGGATTACAACGTGTTCATGCTACGCGACGCCGCCGATATCCAAGTTGGGGCACTTCTCACTCGGCTTTTCTGACGAGATATTCTAATTCATGTGCGTCCTTGTCTAGACCCTCCGCAATACGCGGTCCTTTACGAGTGCACTCCGCATGCCTTCCCTCGTTTCGACTCAGTCGATCGAACCTCAGCAAAGCCTAATTCTTTTCGGGTTTAAATATTCATACGGGGCCTCGAACTCCCCGTCGGGGACCGCTAGCTTGGCATGATTCTTGGCAGCCAGCCAAGCCTCCTGGGAAGTCCTGAACTTTTGTAGCTGGGCCTTTTAATATAGACCACAACCCCGACTTCTATTCTTGTAAGGCGTGCGTCCATATCTCATATCTATGGAACGGTCTTGACAATAGCAAGGCTGCCTCACCTGGCGCGTCCCTGTTTTCTGCCTCGCACCGAATTCGTGTGCTTTAGCTCGTAAAATCAGCTAGCCACCATTGTGAGGGGGCTGAGTCACTGCGAGGGTAGGTAGAGTTATTGTTAGGATCGAGTGCCAATTTCAATCATGGATCATCAAGTCCACACTCAGCTTCGAGCAGTGGTGGGAAGTAGCCTGTCAGCTAGCTATCTATACGTATGTGTGAAATTTACGATTTTAGATTACAACGTATGCATGACTACAAGCAAGCTGGCACTGCAAATACAAACAAACCATTACTGTGTCTGCTGCGTCTCTACTTCTTCACCTCTACCAGTCTCCACAAATCTATATATATATACACTACAGGTTGCGTAGTAGCAACTCGAACACAGTGTATCGGCAGTTGCAAAATTCTCGACCGAAGCCCAACCGAAATATCAGTAGTCAACGTACTCCACAATCATAATGGATCACAGCGCACACAATATGGCTGCTGCAAGGTGCAAGATGTACATGCTCTGGTACGTCCTCACCACCATCCACCCACAAGTACTTACCTATCCTCAGGAATACCCAAATCATCGACACATGTGTCGTATTTTCTCAATGGCACATCCGCTCTAACCTCCAATTCTTCTTCTCCTTCCTCGCCATCGTAGCACTAGGCATGTTCTACGAGTACCTCCGCGTCTTCTCGAGGGACTTTGACAAGCGCATTGCTGTGAAATTGAGGATCCGGAACGGGCGTAGGACGCCGCCTACTGCGAGTGGAAGGAGCTCGCCTGAACGTCATGGTGATGACGCCGAGGAGACGGGCTTGTTGAATGGGTCGAGGGTCACGAGGAAGCAAGGGTGAGTGCTTCTATAACACGTGCTTTTACTTTGATCGTGCTGACTTTGCCTTTATAGATTGACTATTCCGCCTCTCTATCGTGCCATGCGCGCTGTGCTGTATGGAGCCAGCGTTGGCTTGTCTTTCTTTTTGATGCTTGTGTTCATGACGTATAATGTATGTCTGATGGCTTGTTTTTCGGACACCGTCTGACTCGTTTGCGTATAGGCATACCTGATTTTTGCAGTTATCCTTGGTGCCGGGGCAGGACACTACATCTTGAGCGATACTATTGAGCCAAACGGCCCTCCTGAGAAGGGGATGGCATGTCATTGATCTGTCTACATGGGGAAAGCTACTATCAACATAACTATTACTCCTGCTTACGTGGCTTCGATTAGTCTCCATGTCTTCCTTCCGTCAAGGACCAGGTTCGACTACGGGAGACTAACGTAGATGAATGAGGATACCGGTTCCTTCTATATTTCAATATACCTCACTCACTCCAAAGGTGGAAGAATTGCTGTACACGAATATAGCTATGAATATGATCTATTGTTTCATCTACTGTAACCTCATCCTGCTTCGCAAGCACTCTGGGTGGAAGAAAACATGGATGATCGGGGCGGACAATGGCACACAGAGTTTACGATAATATTCAATGCACAGGGATTGTACTGAGGGCAATGAGCAAAACGGTGGACAGCACGATTTCTGGAGGCATAAGGTCCTTGTTCCATCCGACCCAGATACAAGAGCTCAAACACACCCGTGAGCTGATAAGACCATCAGCGTGTCCGTATCTTGCTCACAATGGAAGCTGATGATCATTACTTACACTTTCCGAGCCCATGTCACGGCGTCGGTGAAGCATTGTTAGGCCCCCCTCTTGCACCCTTCGTCAAGTTTGTGGTCATAGTGTCACGAGATGGCCCAGGCTGAGTTTCGACAAGTGGCTGGCTGGTATCTTTCGTCCGCTCCATCTCCTTTTTCATTTGCTCGTCAAAATGATCTTCATTAAAAGATTCCCGGCAACATCCTCGGGGACCGCAGCATTTGGCGCTACCGTGTCAAATGCATCAGTTCAAGTAAATGAGTCAACAAACTCATGTTACACCAATTTCTTTGAGCCAGTACGATGCCTACATGTGTAGGCATTTTGATAAGTTAGTCATTAATGGATTCAAATTGATGGAACACATTTTAGCCTACAGCAGGCTCCGCACATAGACCCCAAACATTCCCATGGCATCTGCCATAACCGATAAATGGAAAGCAACGGACAAAGCGCTGCAAGATATATATGTAGATAGAATTAGTCCCCGAGTATACGTGTATATATTACAAGGATACCTTCGGCCGGCTCTTCGATGATATGATTATGATATCACCGTAACAACTCAGGAAATACAATATTAGCACGATCTTGTCCTTGGTTCGTCTCTGCAAATAGACACAATGAGCATGTCTCTTCGCGTTCTCACCCTCGATAATGCTGTGTACAATTGATTTGAGTAAAGGGATCCGTTCGAAGGTTAGTACGGTTCGTGCTAGCGTCAAACCTTGGTAGCCATTACATAAATGTAGTCACTGCATACGCGGGCACAGAGGGTTGTCTTTCGAACGGATTGGATGGAATACAGCAGCGGCTTTCAAATGAGTCGATGGGTTTGACTTCGACGAGCTGACCATGCAGCGCAATCGCGCGCGCGCGTTTCTGACCAATCCTTTTTCTGCTGAGAGGTATCATAAATGCAGTTCTGTTTGAGATCCAGGCGATGAGGTACTCCAGGATTAGACAACATTGCGAGGTAGTCGGCGGGGTGTTCTTCTAGCCTGCATATAGCAGGGAAGGATGTAGACCAGATAACACCTGATTAAAGCCAAAACAAATGAATTGGGGGAAATATATTAATGTGCCTCCGAATTGTGTGTATCCGTCCTTCACATCGTATAATTTCGGTGCAAGAACTCAACTGGTAGTGCATCATGATTAGCAGTCACTAGACACCACATTAGCACAAAGTGCTGCGGAGAGTGCGAATTTAGACCGTCGGTAGGAACATAATAAATATTCGAAGAATTGATTTATCACCGGATGTATTCTATGGCATGGTCAGAAAAGGAGTGCGGACTCGGATGTGAAGGCAAATGGTACTTACCCCTCCTTGTCCCGCTTCCTGCCACTGGGTAAAATCATCCTGTTCTCGTTTTTCTCGACCTCTGACAGCTAGGTCCATGTCATAATCCACAGGACATTGGGAATGAGAAAAAGTAGCGGATCCTTCTTTCTCGTGGGATTAATGAGTCTCAGATGATCGATAATCCACTGGCAGAGCCTGCCGCAGAGAGGCGCTCGACTACAGTAGCAGCTGCGAGGCTGGCGGAAACCTTCCTTAGTCCAGACTGCATTGGTCGGAGGGTGGTTTCGTCAAACTTTAAAGTACGGTAACATGTTTTGTTTTGTTTACACCCCGTACATATTTGGATAGTATTGGTGGAAGCTATAGCCTGGTCCGAAGCATAAGCCGTAGTAGTTTGACCGAGTAAGCTTCCACTTCTTCGACACTCTAGTACCCCACTGCAGTTATCGATATTATAAGACACTATATGCAGTGACGCTAGTGGACCAGCTGTAGTAGCGACTCTCCGGAGTTAGAGCCTTAGAGGATTTCCAAGTGTTCTCGGAGTCCGAGGCCTTGACAGTTCACTAATCTACGCAGTACTGTACGCACTCCACAATGGATCACGGCGCACATAATATGGGTGCAAGGTGCTCAATTGCAATGCACATGCTCTGGTACATCCCACTCAACCCAACCCAACCCAGTCCATCCATACTTACCCAATCCCTAGGAACACCCAGATCATCGACACATGCATCGTATTTTCCCAATGGCACATCCGATCTAACCTCCAATTCTTCTCCTCCTTCCTTGCCATCGTAGCACTGGGCATGCTCTACGAGTACCTCCGCGTTTTCTCGAGGGACTTTGATAAACGCATTGCTGTGAAATTGAGGATCCAGAACGCGCGTAGGACGCCGCTTACTGCGAGTGGACGGAGCTCGCCTAAACGTCATGGTGATGACGCCAAGAAGACGGGCTTGTTGAATGGGTCGAGGGTCACGAAGAAGCAGGGGTGAGTGTTTCTACTACGCGTGTTTTTACTTTGATCGTGCTGACTCGCTTTGCTTTGCCTTTATAGATTCGCTGTTCCCCCTCTCTATCGTGCCATGCGCGCTGTGCTGTATGGAGCCAGCGTTGGCTTGTCTTTCTTTTTGATGCTTGTGTTCATGACGTATAATGTACGTCTGACTACTTGTTTTTCGGACACTGACGGATTTGTGTGCGTATAGGCATACCTGATTTTTGCAGTTATCCTTGGTGCCGGGGCAGGACACTACATCTTGAGTGACACTATTGAGCCAAACAGCCTTGCTGACAAGGGAATGGCATGCCATTGATCTGTGTACATGGGGAAAGCTGCTATCAATACGTATGTATATCCATTCTGCTTACATCGCTTCGATTAGTCTCCATGGCTCCTTCTGTCAAAGACTAGGTCTGATATAGACAGACCATTAATGAGAATGCTGGTTTCTTCTACGCTCATAATTAATTAACCTTGCTCACTTCAAAGGTTGAAGACATTGTTGTACACGAATACAGCTACGAGTATGATCAATTACTTCATCTCTGTATCCTCATCCTTCTTCGCAAGCCCTTCCGCCCGAAGCAGAGCATCAATTTCTGCAGGTTTGTAAATCTTAGCTTTTGGTGCTTTTGCTACTTGGTCGTATGTGAGGACTGCAAATTCGACTGTCGAGTACAGATCAGCGCCATGTTTGAGTAAGAAGGTAAGATGAGCCTACGCTTTTCGCTTCCAAGAGTTGTGCTGTCCATCGTCTTGCTCATTACCCTCAGTACAAGCCCGATAGCCTCCTCGACGCCCAAGTCGTCTTTGTATTCTTGTTTGAGTAAACTCTGTGCCGTGCCATTGTTCGCCCCGATGCATGTTGCTTTCCACCCAGAGTAGTTGCCAGATGGGTCGGAATGGTACAATTGGAAATGGTAATGTGGGTCATAGCCTGCATATAGCAGGGAGACACCAAAAGGACGCAGACCTAGACAATATCTCGTTAAAGTCAAAACAAACAAATTGGGGAATAGATTAACGGACCTCCGAATTGCGTATATCCTTGCTTCATATCGCACAATCGCTGTGCAAGAAGCTCAACTGGTATATCATCGTTATACTGCAAAAGATGTTGTTGTGCCACAGTCCGCGCGTAGTTCACTAGCGAATTCGCATCGGACGTGATGCCTGCAACTCCTCCGATTACATTTCTGCAAATTCCAGAAATCAAGAGACTTCCTAGGTACTTGTTGGGGGTAGTGCTTACGAGTTTAATAAGAACATCTTCTCTCCACTGCCGCCGTAGCCCCCACCTTCCTTTGCGCTGGAAAGATCTAGGAGCTTCCCTGTCACACGTTTCTCAGCGGCCAGGACAACACCGTCCTTTGCGAGTACGCCGAGGACTGTTCCTGCGTGCGAAATGGCTTCCATGGCATATTCGACTGGAATGATAGGGTTAGGTCGTGAGCCGTCTGCAATTCTCTGATGAGCGTACTTTGGTAAAGCCGGCCTGTGCATGATAAACGAGTCAGATCAGGGAATTTAGTTGATAATGTTAATTACGCACCTTCCGGAGAGAATATTGTTGTTCGACCTGTAAATCAATGGTCATTATATGGACTCAGTAGGTAGTGCTGCTAGGATACGTACTATCATATCTTCGGGCCTGCACGAGTGATTCATGTGAGTATTCGTATGTCAATGCAATTTATAAAATGTGCATACCATGGTTGATGAATCAGGGAACGAGGAGGGAGGAGCGTACTTGTAAGATGGAACTTGTCACTGACGCGTTCCCTCAGATTGAGTTGGCATACGCGTCAGGTTAAGCGGGGGGTCGCCGGCATTTGCCTATTAACTCATACTCAACCCCTCTAGTAAGGTCCTCGCTCTCGTTTGTCACTAGACTAGTACTCTTCGAACATTTTCTTTCGTTACCGCGGATGTGTACATCTTTTATGGATTTTAAGATGATGGTATGCAGAAATTGCTCCGAGGAAATCAGCTGCAGTACTCTGCTCCGAGGAACGAATATCAACGTTTGGCACTAGAATTGGAAGGCCTCCCCGAAACATCTGTTATTAAGAAGACACGACTGTCAGCTCAGTCTTCCGTCTATGTATATGGTCTGACTGCGGAAGACTACGATTCTGCGCACCTGCATACACTTTGAATGCCGAATGAAAGAAAAGTACTAGCGTACTGCTTCCGATTCGGCGACTTCCCCATGTCTGTGGCATATGGTACACCCCTGGCCACATCTCCACTTCCTCGTCGGCCATCGCCATCAATCATATTCCAGCTTTGTGGTGGAATTCGAGGTACTACAATAGTCGCATTAACGTTGTGACTCGCCATGTCTCTTCCTAGCGTGCACTCCGAAGCGCCAACATATCCCGAGGACAGAGGGGCAAATTATCCGGCTGTCAACGTTAACCTTGATACCTCGGTGGAAAACAAGCCTCTTGTTGATGGAAACATGAGCGATGCAGTATTCTTGGTGGTGATGGTACGTCTATTTCTCACTTGCATTTCCAAGCACTAGTATCACTCAAGGGATGCTCACTGAGCTCTCAGGGCGTATCTGGCACAGGAAAATCTACTCTCGGCGCTGCGCTATCAAAGGCTCTCCGTCTCCCATTTATCGACGGCGATGACCTCCATCCGCAATCTAATGTAGACAAGATGTCACGTGGAGAACCTCTCACAGACACAGATCGCCAGCCCTGGCTAGAAACTATCCGCAGAACAGCCGTTAGTAGCGTTCTAAGTCAGCTTGGGAATGACCACAAATCACATGCGGAGCCAAACGCAATGCCCGAGACCGAGACGATGCTTGACAAGTGCAGCATGCTCGGGCGTAATGAGCAGCTGAGTTCTAGTATGAGGGATAAAGACCAGAAGCCGGGTATTGTCATCGCGTGCTCTGCGCTGAAAGGGAGTTACCGGTTGGTGCTACGGGGCGAAACTCTGTCGGAAGCTGAGGCGTCGAAGCATTCAAGAAAGCTTCCGACGTGCTTTGTGTATATGAAAGGCTCGCGGGAGATGCTTATGAACCGAATGATGAAACGCCAGGGACATTTCATGAAGGCTGCGATGTTGGATAGCCAATTGAAGACGCTGGAAAGCCCTGAGAATGAGGAGGGTGTGGTAACGGTGTCGATAGAGTGGTCGACTGAGGACCAAGTGCAAGAGGTGGTCAGGGCTCTCGAGGATGGAGAAGGACACCAGCATGTGGCATCGAAGCATTGATAAGTGTTTTTTTACATAAAAACTCGCAATAAAGTATAGTTCTTGCAGACTTTCTTCCTTGAAAAGAAGGAATGGCTAGGTCAAGCTTCTTTCTTGAGAGGTCTGACTACGGGTAGTGGGAGACAGGGTTATTTCTTCGTCCGGGACTCCAGCATAAGATCATGCAACTTTGCATGTCTCCTTCAACGTGAGGCCATCATCATATCCAAAATATTGGCCATGCATCCGGCTTTACGAAATCTCCAAGTGATAGACATCATTATCTCTCACACGAATCACGGAACCCTTCCTGCACTTGCCTCCACATGCCGCATATTTGAGGACCCGGCACTTGACGTTCTTTGGAGGAGGTTGTCTTCCGTGGAGACCCTCACCAGATGTATGCCAGGTGACCTGTTTACCGTTGAGCAAGGATGCATGGTCAGTATTCAGTGTCTCGTAACTCCAGAGTGTTAATACTGAATTCACTTATACAGGTACTACAGAAACCTCCTGACGACAAGATGTGGGACACTGTTTGCAAATACACGTCCCGCGTACGCTCGATCACACAAATATATGAATCAAGGTCTATCGAAGCCCTTGGGTCGATACTGTTGTCTTGTCCTTTGGCACCCACATCTTTGTTTCCCAACCTCCGTAGGCTAACATGGCACGCCAATGGAACTCGCCGCGCAGCAGATTTCTTGCGCATGGCTTTTGTGCCTACCCTACTGGTCCTGGATGTGACGGTTTCTTCAGTTTCAACTTCCCTTGCCTTTCTCTCGGTCCTTTCGTCTCTTGGGACCTCGTGTCCTCACCTCCAGAACTTGTATATGAACCGTGACCGCGAGCCTTTAACCGACCATTCATATTGCAAAATTACACCCTTCGTTATAAAACCTTTTTCCACACTCCATCATCTTCGCACATTGCGGGCATGGGACATAGGGGACCAAGGTATCCAACACATTATGCAGCTACGAGCTCTGCAGTCGCTGTCACTGGATTTGAACTCATGGCTAATTGGGGAGAAACGATTGTATCTGCAACTCCCCGGTTTTCATGATTTGAATTTTCTGGCCCTTCATATCAACAAGTTGGAGGATGCTTCGAAGTTCTTCGTTTCACTCGAGGTTGTCAGAAGCAGGGACATAAGAGTCTTCTTTAACCCTCTGTCTCCCCCGCCTGCATCCGCAATGCTATCTCAGTTTCTCGGCATCCTCCAAGAAAGATGCGACAACGATAAGCTTGAATGCTTTTCTCTCGTCGGATATTCGAAGGCGATGCTCACAAAACCAGGCGTCTTCACACCACTGCACACATTTCGCAATCTGACTCAACTGAATATCCAGGGGAGCTTTAGCATTTCGATGTCTGACGAGCAGCTATGCCAGCTGGTGAGAGCCTGGCCTAGGCTCCAAGTCCTCGAAATCAGCAGCTGGATCGCTATCGATGTCGCTACGGTACTACCCACATTCCACGGGCTAATAGGGTTGCTTCAGCTCTGCCCCGCTCTGACTTCGCTCGCTCTTGTCGTCGATACAACCAAGTTGGATGGCATAGATCTCAGAAGCCCCAGTGGTGGACGCTTTAATACGCTCAACGGCCTCACGCTCGGCAATTCACCCATTGATTGCCCAGTAAACGTAGCCCTCATCCTCAGCGGCCTCTTCCCCCACCTTGAGCAGGTCGATATCGATTGTTGGAATGGAATCCAGATGTACGTGCTGCCACAGAGGACAGCAGCAATGAAGCAATGGGCGTCAGTCAATAGCATCCTCCGTGGCTTCAGCGTTGTAAGGGAGCGGCGTATTGAAGCTTGATGAGGTTGTCTGGTTGTAGGCTGCACCTTTGGACTATGTGATTGCACACTTACAGTACGCGCATTCATGTGTCGAAATTGTCGTTCATATGATCTTTGGGCGCTCAATTCAGTCCTAGAACTAGACAACTGGCCGATCTGCATTCTGAGAACGATTCGGAGACACCAGTGATCGTCCACTCCAACACCGCGGCAGGTTGCCCAACTTTCGGCATGAACCAGGTGAAATGCTGTAAGATGCATATACACAACTATCAATACGTTGTGGATCATGATCATATGTATGGGTAGGGTGCATGGACATAGCTCATTCCAACACCCCCCACTCCCACTCAATCTTCATAACCACCACTCACCCACCGTTGCGGCAGATACCCGATCAACTTTGTCATGAATCAACATGTTGCTGCGTAAGACGCTTATCCGAAAGGAACCTAAACACGCAGCGACTCCACCTGAACGGCGTCGATTTGGATGGCGTGCAGCCTGTCGTCGTCGAGTTCATCGTCGTAGTAATCATCGTTCGATACACCGTGCCAGCGATTACTTCAGAGGGACCAAGCCGCCTTTGGGGGCGAAACAATATTTGTGGTCTAACAAGTGGATGCCTGACCAAGATGCAATGACTCGGAGGTCATAGACTATATGTAGCGTGATAATTTGCAATGTCCTGACAGCCTACACATGTGGTTGCTGGTGTAGGCTGGTGTAGGGTGCAGAACTACTTGGGGTCCGGCTAGTTCTACCGGTACCGGTTACAAACGGCAGAACTGTTGAAACTGGTTGGTTGTTTTGCCGGGTGGAAAAACTTTAGGCTATATAGATTAGCACGATGTGGTACCAGCCCCCGATGTCAAGCACTTACCATCTCGGAGAAGGTTACGAGTCTAACTGCAAGTGCCACATCAGACTTCGTGCGAACTTCCGACCTCTTCAAGTTGCGAGCGAAGCTGCGAGCACCAAGTACTAGTAAGTGCCAGAACAGCCTGAGAGGCCGACGCAAGCTGTAAGCAATGATACGAGGGGGCGTCCTCCAGCGTGCACCATCCGAGTCTTAGGGGAGCTCAGAGCTGTCAGAGGCTCCGTACTCCGAATCGTGCATCTCTCACCAATTTCTTTTCACCGAGAGGTTGTGTCGTATGGCACATATGCAACTTATTTTGAGATCCAGTTGATGGAGAATAATTCCGGGCGCAGTAAGCATATGCGCCAAGTAGTCTGGTGCTTGTTCTGGTGCCTCAATATAAGGTGCGATCCTCGACGGAACCTATATTAGCTTCAAAGTTAAGAACGACGACGGCTAAGTCACCGACAGGGAAAGTAATGTATAATGTTTGCTCTCAGCCATGGAAGGTCCAGAGGTGCAAGTGGTAGCTATGTACAGCTGATAGTATCGTGAAAGTGGAAACAAAGTGGAAGAGAATCTTGTGTATTTAGCCCTATTGTGTTTGATTTACCTACATATTTACAACATCGCATCTTCATTCAAACTCGCATCACTTTTGTGTCGTCAATGAGCTGACGAGATACTTACTATACCAAGGGTCGAGCCCGACGAAAACATACTAGTCATGGAAGCCAGCTGTCTTTCATCAAGACCACCATTTTTTTCCCATCTTCCCTGGGCCTGACGTTGAACCCGAGAAACAAATTTTCGGTAACGATTAACGATTTTTTTATTGGCTGACTACGCTACTGATGCTGAGACATTCAGGCAAGTTACATAGTAACGGCCCTTGGCGCCAGTACTAGTACTAGTGTCGGCACAAGAAGGTTTTAATGAAAGCATGAAGACGTTTCTAAATTCTATGGAAAGTCGTATGTTCGCTTCAGGCTTTATATGGTTTGATAACGTCTGCGGGAAAGAATCTGGGAATATCGGTAACCGCCGATGCTAAAGGTATTTGCCTCTAGAACCGATCTACTTGGGAATGGTAAAATATAAAGGAGCCAATACCATCTCCTTCCGAATAGTAAGGTCACACTTACTACTCCACACTAGCCTCCCAGCCTGAAACTGCACAACCGAGGCATAATGGGCCAGCTCACCGTTTTCGGGTATCTTCGCGAGCAATGGACGGAGCTTCCGATCCCCACTGCAGATGTCAGCGACCAGTCGCTCATCGTAGTCGGTGCTAATGTCGGACTCGGACACGAGGCTGCTGTGCATTTAGCACAGCTCAAACCTAAGAGCCTGTTGATTACTAGCAGAGACGGAGTCAAGTGCGAAAAATCAAAAGCAGGTATGCATGAACCCTGACTCGGAAGGTTATCAGGGAACTTTATGACTTGTATAGACGTGGAGAGCCGGTCTGGCATGACTGGTATCGAATCCTGGCCTCTTGAGCTATGTTCATTCGATTCCGTGCGTTCTTTTGTGGACACTTTTGAAGCGAAGGGCTGCACAGCCAATGTTCTTATTGCTAATGCCGGCATATCGACGCTCAAGTACACAAAAACCCCGGATGGCTACGAAACTACGTGAGTGCTTTGCTGACATTGCCGTTATTTCACCTCAAGAATTTCCATAGATTTCAAGTGAATTATCTGTCGACCGCTCTGTTGAGCTTATTGATACTGCCTCACCTCATCAAGGCAGGTACTCCTGAACGTGCCTCAAGACTGGTTATTGTATCTAGCGAGTTTCATTATCTGGCCAACAGACTAAAAGGGGCAGACACATGGCCTAGCATCATCGAAAAAATCAACGATGAAGCATATTGTACCTCTAGGTAAGTCTCATTGACGTCTCTTCCTGGAGCACTAATAACATGCAGCAGCGTAATGTTAAACCGCTACTCCTTATCCAAGCGTGAGTAATAGAGTACATGCGTTATTGTGTTTACAACTCCGTCATGTGCAGTTCTCGAAGTGATGTTCATCCGTGAGCTGTCTTCACGACTTCCCACACCAACTTTAGTCGCAGCTTCGACGGTCAATCCTGGTTCTTGCCACTCTTGTCTTACCCGAGAAGTCGAATCAAATCCACTCTTCAAGTTTGCCGTGAGAACTTACAAAGGGTTGGTGGCACGCGCAACTGAGATGGGCAGTCGGACACTTGTCCATGCGGCAATCGAGCCAAATGAGAGGGAACGGCATGGCCGCTACCTGTCTAGCTGCGAAGTTGCCGAAGAGAGTGATTATACTCTCAGCACAGAAGGAAGGGAGGTTTCGAAGCGTTTGTGGGTACGTACCTGCTCATTTTTTACTACCATGGTGCTGACTGATATCTGGCTGAACAGCATGAGACCCTTGAGATCCTTGGAGACATCGATCCCAGAGTCAATACAATTGTGTCTGAGTACCTCGTTCAGGAAAAAGCATGATTTGTTCATTTATTCGTCCTTGTGTTGCATTCTGATCACGTGGATGTATGTGGAATTCATCCCTGCATGTGCGTACTCTACCTGAACGTCACATGTACTCCACTGCTCGCTGTCAGTGTGCGTCGGCTCTCCTGTTTCTCTGCGTAGCGCTTATCTCTGTGTCTGTAATCCACCTTTTCCAATGTATCTTCTAAACTCCACATGTTTCTCTTCTAACTATACTTTTGTTCTTTCACCACCATGATACGCAATATAACGAAATATGTCTGTCGAAAACAGATTAGTACGAAATGCGCGAGTGCGTATCACCGCTCTTCATCGAACACTCGGAGGACTACATTGCCCGCCTCGCATCACCTTCTCTTTCTATCCCGCGCGTTCTAATTGGACTGTAATTCGCAAACAGTTTCCCTTCCGATCTGCTTAGGCGACGACATGCAACGGATGTCAAGGGCTGATGCTAGCGTTGTGGGCAGAACTGGCAGAATAATCGGCCCGGGTCAGCGGGTTGGATTGTGCTACAGAATGCTACAGAGCGCTCTGTAGCACTCTGTAGTGAATTACGTTTGCCTGATGCGTTCTGCCGAGTGGCATAACTCTAGCGGTGAAATCTACAGCATCAATGACAGTCCTACCAAAGACATCGGCGACGCCCCATCCCATCCATCATCCTCGCCACCATGATACACGACATCAACCTCATCTACAGCAGCTTGGGGTACTATCCCTCGGTCAACCCAATCCAATTCAGCAAAATCAAAATGCCTTCCCTCCAAGGACCTCTGCGTTGTTAATAAATGACCTGGCTTTTCGGCGAAGCTCGGGAGTAGCATTCATGCAGTGGCGGATGATATGGCTAGGCAGTTCCACTCTTTCCAACAAACTTTCACTGGCGCAGTTGATACGGCCTCTCAACTATTCGAATCAATGCCTTTCTCAGTATTCAGTGCTACTACCTATCTACCAAACTAGCTATCATTAGGAACTCCCCTGTCGATTCTACGTTTTGTACCGAGTTTTATCCAACCCCCGTCGGTCGTGAAGCGAACTTTGCACAAACCTGAGCGCCAATCCTAGCTAGAAGACAGTTTAAAGTTGGGTTCTGAGCCGGCTTGACATCGGTCACAGCTGCGCGGAACTGATAGTCAGAAGTACTGTCGGGCACTTAAATATTCAATTCTGCCATTTCCTTGACATTCCGATATTGTTCAACATTTTTGGACTAGCCAATCTGTAGACCCAGCACCTCTCGTACTTTCCTTTCAACGTCTACATAGGACATGCCCAATCATGTCAGACAGTAGAAATGCTTCCTTAGCATTTGAGTGTATGCTCGGCGACTAGTAACAAATAGGCTCACTGATTATTTTGGTGGCACGTATGCTTCGGACCACTTGCAGGTCCTTTTACCACAATCCAAAAACTTGTATCGATATGTACCGCTGTTTCGATGGAATTCTGTCCTGAAAACGCAATAGTCCACCGGGGCATTTTGAAATATGTCGGTGGGGCAAAAGCATGATCGAACTTCGTCATCTGTGCCAGTGTGCATGTCTGGATAACAACAGCGTATACAAGACTCGAGTCAGACACCATGGAATCAGCGTAAGAATGAACCTCTTACTGTTGTTTGAATCAATCTGTGTTTAGACGAGAGGAGTTATTCATTTTCATCCCTTACTGCACTAGAGTACTTATAGTGTGAGTGGTACTACCGTCTGTTAGCTCCTATTACGAGTGGTGCTGGCATTGCTAGTCGATCCGGAGAAGTGATCAGGCGATCAGGCGCTTGCCGCTTGCAACTAATCGGCAGCATGGGATAAATCAATATGTGGGTCCTCGACACTGACAGCTATGAGAATCACGGAACTTCGTGTCGGTGGTGCTGAGTCCTGACCACCACTCGGAGAAGTGATGGGGTTCCTAGTGTTGTGGGCAGAACTCTGCCAAGGCAGATGGCAAAACCTCACTGGCAGAATATAGAAGAATTCAGGGTGTACTACAGGCTTTCCACAGCGCCTAGGTCTGGAGCCCGTCCCTTGTCCAAAGTAGGTTGATCATGACTCGGATAAAGCTGACATTATGTAGTACCGAAGGTTGCCAAGCGGCTCGAAAGTCTCCAGACTCCAGTTACGATCTTGAAGGTGCAAAATCTAATCATGACGAACTGAATGGGGAAAGAACGATGCTTCAAGAATTTGTCTTGGACTGGGGATATGAATCATGATGGGACGGAAGTATTAGAAGGGTGAGCATTCGACTTTGCGGAGCCACCGCATGATGAGTCTGATCGTAACGAGGGACTAGTGCCACTGGCAGCAGTGGTAAACGGTGTTCTAGCAAAGCTGACGCTGATTTCGTACAGCAAAAATAATGTGCACGTCGTGTGAGGTGTGGGGACTGGGGAGATCTATGGAGTAACTAGAGTTGAACGCGTCTGTCACATTTGTGACTGGGTTTGGCCATTTCTTCGCCTCTCCTTCCTAATGCCATACTAGTAAGATAGGCGTCACTCTTATCCAGCACCGCTTACATCAGCACATTGAGAGCCTCGTCATTGCTCAAATTATGAGCACATATATTTGTTTTTGATGTATATGGATCCTAGGAACTATCTAATAGTAGTTTAGCTTGAATTGCCAGGAAACAGAAATAAAAAATATTCAAAACTGGAGGAGATTTTCATCCCCCAAAAATTTTTGTTCTATACAGTCAGAAAGTAGTTTACAAGGCCATGGGATGCGAGGGAATGATTTTCAAGTTTTCGGCACACCAACTTTTGGCCGCTTATATAATACATCACGTGATATGTGCCTGGGCAGGACGAGGAGGAGAAGGCAGCAAAAATCAGGGATATTACACACATAAAGCATCTCTCAATGGGTGTAAAGTCTAAAGCTAATAAGGCTCGTCTCAAAAATATTCAGTCTGCACTTTCCAGGTCCCACAAAGCCACGGTCGAAGATGTCTCTGACTCTGAGGAGGACTCCAGCTGCAGTGATTCCGAGGATGATATGGAGTTCAGTGTGGAAGAAGAGGGAGATATACAGGATGAAGCAGCACTTCTCACATTCTCAGAAATCCTCTTTCATGCACAGAATACTGCTGCCGAAGGGGAAAGACAGAGGTCAAAAGATACCGGAAGGCCAAAGCATTACACCGGAAACTCAACTCGGACTCTACGACGTCATGCTCTGAAAAGGAAAAGGATTGCGGGAACAAATCAGACTTTCATCAGCAGCTGGATTACAAAGAAGCCGGAATTCGAAGGTGTCCAAGTTGAAGGCACTGAATCTCCATATGAGGTGAGTTCTGATGTCATGGCTCGTGTGCATGAGCAAATCGTTTAAAAATAGCCAAGCCCTGTTCGAGAGGAGGAAGAAGAATCTTCCGAATCAGCATCAGATTCGTCTGGGGATTCCATGGGAGAGAACCCATCTCGATCATCACCTTTTGAAATGTTATTCAGCGAACAGGAGGAACAAATTCAGAAAATGCTGGAAGACATCCAAAATGGACAGCCACCCTGCGATGACAGTCCAGAGACATTCACAGATTCAGTTCTCAATGCTCTTGATTACAAAGACTTCCCTGCCTTACATCGGGCTCGAGAAAAAATTGCAGCGAGCAGCAAAGACAAGAAGCTTGATGTGGTTTTCCGATCTCGCATCACAGCAATGCTTGGTGCTTTGAACCTCTACCTTGATCCGGAGCTGTCGTATGGTTGGCGTGAAGCATCTCTCGTGGCCTCGAAATCACTAGGCCAAGGAATCAATCATGCACGCAACATACGCACCTGGATTCATCAGTTTCTCCGTAATGGGAAGTTCCCTCTCCATCGATACGGTCAATACCACTCATCAATTCTTGAGGACGAAGACTTCGCACAAGAAATTCAACTTCACCTGTCCGAAGTCCAGCAACAGGAGGGCCACATCCGAGCTCAAGATATTGTGGACTATGTTGCCACACCAAAAGTGCAGGAGAGGCTTGGTGCAAAGGCCAAGGTAATTTCAAAGCGGACAGCGCAGCGGTGGCTGCGCAAACTCGATTGGCGTTATGGACGAAAACGGAATGGCATGTACATTGACGGCCATGAACGTCCTGATGTTGTTGAGTATCGCAATCAGTTCATTCAACGATGGCAGGAGTACGAGAAGAGAATGTTTATCTACGATAATGATGGCAACATTCAGTACACACCAAAGGGCTTCCCTGTCGCTCAAGCTGGCCGATTTCGTCTCATTCTCGTAACACATGATGAACCAACCTTTTATGCCAACGACCGTCGCAAAACGGGGTGGTCTCACTCAAGTGAGAAGGCCACTCCTCAACCCAAGGGCGAAGGACCATCATTAATGATTTCGGATATGTTAACGTCTGAATGGGGCCGGTTGCAGCATGGTGATAGGTGAGTGTCACAATTTGCAGCATTGCGTGAAATAATGCTGACTGCGTAAAATTTAGCGAGGCGCGGGTTATTTTCAAGGCGGGAAAAAATCGGGATGGGTACTTCTCCGCATTAGATCTGCTCAAACAAGTGGAGCACTCAATTGATATCTTCGACGACAAAACCAACGGCTTCGCAACAGGCTTGTTCATGTTTGACAATGCACCAAGCCACCAAAAACGAGCACCGGATGCCTTGTCAGCTCGGAAAATGCCCAAAAGACCTCACCAAAACTGGACGCACCATAAAGATGGGCCACGCATGCGGAACGGCACATTCAATGGTCAATCACAGGAATTTTATTATTGCGACGATCACCCAACCATGCCTGGTTGGTTCAAAGGCATGGAAACAATCATTCGAGAGCGGAATCTCTGGCCTGCAACTGGACTCAATGCACAGTGCGAGGGATTCAAGTGCGAGCTTAACCGCACAGACTGTTGTTGCCGGCGATTATTGTTTTCCCAACCAGATTTCACTTCGCAAAAATCTCACCTCGAAGAATACATCACTTCCCGTGGCCACATCTGCGATTTCTATCCAAAGTTTCATTGCGAACTAAATTTCATCGAACAATACTGGGGCGCGGCAAAATTTCGATACCGAACGAGTCAGCGCACATGTGATATGGATGCGATGGAGAGAAATGTCATTGAATGCCTCGATGATGTACCATTACTTCAAATTCAAAGGTACTGTAGAGTTACGCACCTAAGTTCGACCTGATATGGGTGTGACCGAATGAACATTAGGTTCGAAAGTTCGAAGGGGTGTGTGACGTGTGACATGTTGCGCATAGGTTCGTTGTGTGAGACGACCGACTGGGCTGGGAGTCTCATTAGGCAGAAGTATTTCTTTCTTTGTACGAGCGCAGAGATGCCCGCGCTCAACCTGGAGACTCCGTCGCTAGTGCTCACCCCTCGGAGCTTTGTTTGCAAGTTCAATTCCGTTCGGCAACATCACACCTTCTTCCTATGTTGCTGCAGAGTCCTGCCAATGCGGATCCGATGTTTGGTGATCTGCAGCACATTGCGCTAGGTGAATTATCAATCCCTGATGGCTACAGTGCTGATGGATTGGGTAATCTGCTGGCCGACAATGAGTCGGAGAGCTATGAACAAGCACCAGATGATACAGAGCCTCAATTTGCAGCTGTGACCACTGACAGTTCGAAGGAGGTTGATGTCGAGGGTCGCGGCAAGCGCAGACGCGTTGCAAATACTCAATATAAGGACTTTTGGCAGCACTAGGACTTTTTTCGTGTTTTTACTGCATGTTTTCGTGTTTTTACCGCATGTCACAACTTAAGTTCGATGACCTCAATATGCGTGTGACTGTCACACAAAATAGGTTCGGTTCGCTCGCCCTGTGATGGTGTGACGAACTTAAGTGCGTAGCTGTACAGTATTTATTTTCATTGGCTGTTCTTGTATGTACACTATTAACAATGGTACGCAACACAGATACGCAAATCGATCTGCGTGTTTCATTTCCGCGTATGTACAAGGTCTTACTGGTGGTGAGGCAGCTTGGGCTAACCGTAAATACCACGGACATCGCACTCTACCCCCCTCTATGATTCTTGAAGTTAAGGAGGCACTGAGAAAGGCCTAATGCACCAGTATATAGTGTTACTACATGTACTAATAACAAACTCGTCACTAATCTTTCTGCAGTCTCAATCTCAACTGTTGAAAATTTTCAAGTCGAAGGTTTGGCCATTTTTAGGGTTAGGGTTACGATTATGTAAGGGTGTTGGATACGAGTGACGCCTATCTTACATCAACTATTCGGCCCGCGGCAATGGTCTTTTCTCTCCGGTATTAGAGTGTTGTGTGTTCAATGGTGGTACAAGTTTGTGCATCTGGATTTGCAAAGTGATCTCAGGCTGTATAATTATGTGCGTGCAACCTCCAAAAATTTTCCTTACAGCAGTTTCCAACTTTGCAAAAGTAATGGCACTGGCCAAACTTTTCGCGTGGATCTGGACCCTTGGACGCCAACAAAGCTAGAAATCCCATTTGTATTGTTAGTTTCACAACCATTGTCAACCGGCGGATCAGCAAAGGCCCGAAAGAATGCGCACTGTCTGTCTGTGGGTGCACGGATTGGAGTTAGAGGATTTCTGCGAAGCTTACAGTGTCTCGTGAATAAGCTGTTTTCCCTGGTGATGGATATTCGAAGAAGTCCAAGAACATGGCGCTGTCGTGAAGCATTGGATACACTTTTACTATTACACGAGCACACCGAGTCTTGCCAACCGTTCAAGACCTCTTTGCAGAGGAGTCAGACTTGTACCTCGATGAAGTAGTATGCACGCGGCTTGCATTCGAGCGCAATATCATCATCAGTCCTTCTAAACTTTCTCGCAATCTCGAACAAGCTGGTCTGACGTGGAAGGTTCTACAAGTTTGCTATCGAAGCAAAAACGAACATACCTATGCGAGACTTTACGGACGGGCGGCAAGGAGTACGAGCCGTGCTAACTGATGTATGGCCCTTTTGCGGTAATTCTGTCATCTCAGACTGCCACCACACTAGCAGAACATGGTTCTGGTTCTGCCAGTTCTAGTACTACCGGAAGAACTGCTTCAAAATAGTTCTGCCCACAACAATAGGCCCATGGGGAACTTGCTTCCAGCTAATCATGGCAGCGTGTAATAATGATGCGGGTCCTCGAGCAGCGTTGTCTGACAGCTATGACAACTGTAGGCTAGGCTTGAGGAGTGCTAACCGACCAGTCGCTGACCGCCACCTGAGGAAGTGATATTAAGGTGCTTACTTCCTGCTAATCAACAATGTACAACTCAGTCTCGATTGCAGAGGACATCTATTGAAATTCGCCGAGCTGTTGTCGATTATCAGCTGTGATAGGCCGTGCTTCATAACCCCTTGCGAGCCCCAGTGACGTGTCGTTAGCCAGGAAAAAACATAATGTGCGCCGCCGTGCGGAATGTTTGTTTCGCCCCACCACCAAGCGAACTACTATCTTCCTACAAAGTTGAATAGGGGAGACTAAGTCACAGCACAGTCGGAGCATAGGCCGCGATTCTGGTTCGTGAGCAAAATATCCTTTGTATTGATGATACAGCATTCTCACTGCAGGCATTTGGTTCTAGTGCAAATAAAGTTGGAAGATATTCGTGGTTTGTCGTTCCTAGCGATGCGAGAACTCGTCAAAAGTTATGAAATGTGGAACTGTACAACTGAAAATCTGGATCACGTTGTCATTGTATGGAAGGAGAATGATAATCATTACCAATCTCGATTATCCGGGCGTTGGGCAACGGCCAAACCATTCGACCTCGATAGTCTTTCTACCTCCGAGACCATCCCCATTCCCATGCATATTTTCAAGGGCCGTTGGCATCCATCTTTAACCGAATCACCTCCTGTGGCTCCCACAGACTCTTTTTTGAAATGTCCCTGCATAATCCTGCCTGACGACTACGACGCAGACGAGCCAGGCTTGTGGACACCTGGAGACGATCTCATCAAGGAGGCCAAAGTCTACGAAATCCTACAGCAGCACCCTCACCCTAATATTTGCGTTTACTATGGATGCGTTCGTGACGGTGACCACATCACCGCCATATGTTTGAAAAAGTACACACGCAATCTCATGGAAGCAGTTTGGAAAAGCGATCCCACCCTGAACCCTGCTGCGATTCTTGATGGTATTTCGAAAGGGCTAGCTTTTCTACATGAGACGCTTGGTCTTGTGCACAATGATATCAACCCCGCTAACATCATGCTTGATGATGCGGGAGTTCCTGTAATAATCGATTTCGACTCTTGCATACCAATTGGGGAGGAGATAGTGATGAACTGCAAGGGGGGTACAATTGACTGGACAGTGGAGCCAATGCCGACCATTGCTCTTCCAGAAAATGATATATATGGCCTGACACAGATTGACGAATTCATGAAAGGAAGACGATCATAGATGTGAGTATCTTTGTCATTTTTGTGGTGTTATTCATGACCGTTTGTATTATTTTCCTTTAGATTGTGCCAATCGTTTAGAGGAAAGAGGGTCAATCTGAAAGGTGGTATCCGACTGAAACGCTGCAATGCGTGGGTCAGCGTTTGCGCAACGAAGGTCAGGGAGGTGGTATTTATACTTGCTGTCCCAAGGGCAGGCTCGCATTTCAAATAAATAAATTGACGTGGTAGCTCAGCAGATAGAGGTCGAAAAAAAAATCAGCACGATACTAACAGACAAGCAACACTGTGGTATTCGCGCGCCGACATATACACGTCGTCTTAATTACAGGTCGGTGCCAAGGGACGAGGGACGAAGCTCTGTCATAAGTACTGAAGTGTTGAAGTACTCAGGAAAGCTTCCGATGAAACGCGAGGGGCGTCTCATGAAGGCTACGATATTGGATTGCTTGTCGAAGAAGCCTGCAAAAATGATACTGTTTAGTTTGGTAGCTCAATTGTTTGACTAACGCATCTGCAAGATGTGAACAATGAATCCCTGGGCACTGAATCAGTTCTCGAACTACTGTATTTGCATTCTGAAAGCGAAATATTACGATTGCATACTCAGGCATGAAGGTATGTGGCTGGATGGAGCGTGTTACTCATTGCCTCACGAGCCAGTTCAAGGTCGAGACGAGATATCTGGTAGTAATATTTGTGTGTACATTATATGTGCTAAGTGACGAGTGAATGGGGATGTGCTCTGGGTTTATCTAAAATCAGTGAAACATATTGAAAGTGGATATAAGCAATCACAGAAAAGGTCAACTCGAGCCTCCCGCGTTCCCTTGTGGTGAACCCGGAGGAGCAGCTCCAGGAGGTGGAGGCATTGAATCTGCTTCCTCTATAACTCGCATCTCTGCCTCAATACGCTCCCGGGCACGCACAACTTTTGACTGGATGTAATGAGAGTGCGTAGGCGGAGCAGGCTGTTTTCCTGCTTTTGCGCCAGTTGTCGGTAGGTCTGGAGCTGGCCGGGGACCATTCACTTTGAATAAATGTTCATAATTCTGTCATGGCGGTCAATATTAGATGCAGTCAAAAAGTCGACAAAGCAATATAAATTCACCTTCAACACATTCTCGAGGGTTTCTCCTTGCTTTATATTCAGAATGAGATGGGCCTCGTCCAGCGTCATACGGTGATCTCGTGTGAGTTTATCTGTCAAGGAGCCAGAGGTAGCATTTCGAACGCCCGCAATATCTGATCCTATTGCGCCTTGCGGGGTGTGCCTTGCATCTGCAATTGACGAAACGAAAAATGTGAACACTGGTATCATCAAAGATAAAAATGCCAAATTAAGCACTTTTGGCAGCCTGTTTTCCTGCTTCAAATAGTGCCTTTCCGAAAATTTGTGCACCTGTGACGAGAATTTGTATGATGATTTTTGGGGCCGACTACAGGTACCCGTCAGACCACAGACGCAACCTGAGAGCAACTATGACTCACCATCACAACCCCTTCAAAATTACTAAAAGGAAACTAGAAATGGAACATATATAAGGGTGAGCGTCGGACGTTAGTGGGATTCAATAAACGAAATTTCCGAGTCGGCTACCGCCAGTGTCACATGATCGACGCCGTCCAAAATTTCTGCTTGGACTGAATCTCAATGTCTCATAGCATGTCACGATGACCACATCCCTAGGCCTCTCATTACCTGCCTCAGGTCACAAGAAACGGAAGCATCGTGCATCCGACGCAGACCATGATGCACCCAGGAAGAAGAAGAAAGAGAAATTGAAACAGGACACCGGGAAGCTCCCCACCGAACCTTCGACAAGTGAATTCCGGGTGACAAAAGCAACCATAACACTCTCTGTACCTCCTGTATTCGCCAGTAATCTACGCACGGGAGTGGAGGAAATGTTAGATAGCATGATTATGCGGTGCGATGGTACCTCTTCTAGATAACTTTGTGATACTGAACTGAGATGTGAAGATATATCCCGTCCTTGTGTGGTGTTCTCTTGGCTCATTCAAATTTACATTTCCTAAGTCCAACAGCGAGCATAAATGCCGACTGTCCTTTCGCGATCTGTAACGTTACTTTCGATGCTACGGTCTGGAGCCCAAGTATAGCCATGAAACTTAGTACGTGCTTCGTTTGCCTTGTATCGTTTGAATCGAATAACATGCTCTTCAATAGTTGGCAAAATTATTATGTACTCTCCCGATCATGTTTCGCTTCTCCTCCACCGTACGTTTAACGTTTCCATACCACGACATCACATTCCGCAAGATGTTTGGGAATTCGAATATGGTCCTGCAGAAAATGATCCCGAGTATGGAGAAGGTGCTGTAGGGTCACCTGTCGATAAAGAAGGGGATGCAGGAATGAAGGATAGTGATGCTGAGAAGATGGATGCTGAGAAGACGGAAGACGAAGCGGTACCGGAAGCGAGCGGACAGTGGGTACACCGTTTGACGGGGACGAAACTTGGCGGCACAGATGGGTATCTAGAGTTTACAGTCATTGGGTGAGTGGACAGTCATTTTCAATGAAAGGAAGATTGATGAACTTTTATGACAGAAAAACTGTGGCGAACGAAATGCTCTCCCTTCAGGGATCGATACAGTCTGATCCCTTTTCTGAAGAACACTCTACTACACAATCAGGGAAGAGCTCCCGCAAAAAACGTGACAAATAAGTTCGGGTTATCTGATGTTCCCTTGACCTCTAGAAGCGCCTGCTATGATCTTAGTACATAAACGATGCGCCCCCAGGGTCGTCGCCAGTGATATGAAGAACATCGGCCGTTTCGCCATGCAAACTAGGAGCCCGTTCGAGTTCATGTTATTCGTTCATTGCTTATAAGAGGTTTACTTTGAGCTCTCAAGGATGGAAGGGAACCCCGGATAATTTAGCACCAAAGCACCATTGGGATCAATGTGACATTCCCAACAATATCATCTTACTCGGTGTCGTGCGCCATCCCCTTGAAATCTACAGCATTTATCCGGAGGTTCTGTTGAATTAGGAAGACTTTGAGTGCATACGCAAGTATGGTCCTTGTACTAGTCCCAACGAGGAGCTCGAGGAGTAATGGCAGTATCAATCATCAGTGAACCGGTGAACATATTAAAATGTCATATTTAACTATATATTGCTGACATTCACAACAATCTACATAAATATGGTGGGGGTTTTACTTCGGAATATTTGACTTTCCGAAGGAAATACAAGTTTGCAAATCAACTAGTCAAGTTGTCCTACCCTAGATGTACCATTTAATACGTGAGCTAGTCTGTGAATGAAAGGTGCACCACAAGCCAATGAAGTGGATCGCATGTCCATACTAGTCAACAAAACAAAGATGTAACACACACCAATGAAGGGAACCATAGATCCATAATCATCAAGAAAAGCACCAAGGTCGCCACTGCACTGAACTGATACTAGTACTTATTTTGTACAGACTTGTATTTTGGTACCGGACTTGAAACGAGGACGTCTCAGGATTCACTTTTTCGCCCTTTCGCCCCGCAAACAATGATAAATAACTAATAATTTTGTATGTGTTGGGTGTGTTATATAATCAAGCTTGCCACATGACATCATACATCAATGTCTCTTATCTTGAATATATTCCTCTCCGAGTCTGGCATCTGGCATCTCGCTATGCGACCAATCACTTCCACCCTGCAAATGATAATAAATAATTTTAATAATATTGGTATGCAAAGTTAAGTGCAACTTGTATTGGTAGTTCTAGTACTACCTCGCTGCTGGTAGTCATCAAATCCTATCTATCATGGAGAACAAGTCATCAGCCCCAGTGAGAATTGACTGTGTCCGAATAGGGTTAAATATGTTGATATGCGCCTTTGAGAGACAAAGCACATACTCGTGCATTTTGCCTGATATCTGGACTGACAGCATATTTTCTATAAGACGGGGCAGTGCCCTACTTTTGTGCTTCTTTTACATTGCGCACATCTTGGCATATCCACACACACTCGCACTGTCCTCCCAGAATGTGCTCAAAAAGTATCAGATATGCTTTGATTGCTTGGTAGGTATTATGCGGAATACAATTGGTATATGAAAACAGCTGGAAATACAGGGAAACTGATGTAGAACAGGCAGGGTATACCTTGAAAACACATTGAGAGCTGAGCAGAAAGGATATAGATCACAGAGCACATTACAAACATCTAGAGCCGAGCAGAAAGGAAGTAGACAGCAGAGCGCATTGAAAACATGAACATGTCAAGAGCAGACAGTGGAGGAGATCAAAAATAGGAAGCAGGTAACACAGCAATGAAGGTGTGGCAGACACTGGTAGCAAAATGGAGACACATTAGTAAGGAAGCACAAGAAGTATTGGGATGGCTGATACCAACGACCGTGACAGGCTAGTAGATTTGGCTCTCATTGACATTCTTATTCCACGTGTCGTTGGACACCTGCAAAAAATTGATTAGTATCATAGACAACCAAGTAAACACAATATTCCAAATTCTTGGCTTCCTCTTTGTATTTCTGAAAATAGAGCAAATAAGAGTTAGTCAGTGCTACAAGACTCGGAGCAGACGAAGATGGTGTCACGTTCTGCTGTAAACTTCACAATCTGCAGCTCTGAGGCCCTATACTTTTCATGCAAGGTCTGGAACTGCTGGATTTCTGGCATATATGCACCCTAAAATGCATCAGGAAAATGTCAACTTACTTAATCTGCCTTTTTTGGACTTTTCACATCTTTTCAAAAATGAGTGGCCTTAAAATCAGTTATTTTTCTTAATTCACTGCCTGATCCAAACTTATGTGTTCCAATATGTTTTATTAACCTAAGAGACATGTTTAAAAACATAAAAACAGAAATTTGTTACCAGTAAGTGGCACAGAGTGCTGATTATCTTTATTTATTTTTATTTTTATTTTCAAATCCTCTCCTGAAGTGGCAACCAGCCTCCTTGCATTCTTATCAGCAAGTTGTCATATTCCTGCTAGTGATGTACCAGCATAATGGACAGTACTCAAGAACATTATCTGGTATGAGGGCACCTTTGGTTTAGGTTATTTGTCCAAGATCTTTTCTGAAAATCGCATCTATGGAATCAGCAAGCCTATCTGTCATATACTAGTAACTACCTCTGGATCATCAGCTATATGTACTATTTGATCCAGCACATTGTGCTCTTTACCCTCCACAACAAGTTTGCAGCACACTTAACTGTGTGAACAAGAAAAAATTAATGAAGGCTATGCAGCGCCCTGCTGTTCTGTACACCCTTAACAATGGCCCCATTGCCACGTACACAGTTGACCTCAAATGTGAAGGTGCATTGTAGAGACTGACATCTCTGTGGCCTCGTAGAGGTCTGTTTTCTGATGCATGTTCAATGAAATGCTAATCATTGCCTGAATCATTCCCTATCATATCTGACTCAATATGCACCAAACCTGAAAACATTGGACATTGGACATTGTACATCGGACTTTGCACATCGGACTTTGCACATTGGACATTGGACTATTGGACTTTGCATCGGGTTTCACATCGGCCTATTGGATATTGTGCGCACTTGTCCTACCTACTATGTCCTGTCTCATTGCGCTAGCCCCACTAGGTGCATAGTTACTTGTTTTCCCATCACTAACATTGTAGACCACATTATTACATGTCCACAGTGCCTCATGTCTTATTACATAGGACATTGGGTCCGAAAACATTGCACTACTACTTTCGCCTATAGGGTTCCAGATTTCTACATATCTACATAAATATTGGACTCCCCATAGCATCATCATCATCCAAGTAGAGGAGAGTCATTCTCCGACACTTAGGGGTCAAACCTGATATTTCGTAGTTCTTAGTTGACATTGTGAATATCATCGTTCCTTCATTGCCCATATCCGTCATTGTTATTATTGCGCATACCACTCGCTTTGCCGATGCTCGCTATTGTGTCACTATTAGTTTCCGATAACCCAAACCTGAACCTGATAACCCAAAACCCCGAAAACATTGGACCTGACACTTTTGCATTGGACATCGTAATTATGCCTTCGGACATTGTTTCTCGTGCTCAGACTATTGACCCCACATCACTCACTGACCCCCAAAACTATTCCCAGACTGCAGACCCCTGGGTTGAATGCACTTGTCTCACCAAGTATAGCAGACTAGGCAGTGCAAGACCACAACATAAAGATATCAGTTTGGAGCCATCTTTGTATAGCCCCACTCTGTGTTGTATTCCTACAGCATGCTACAGTTTCATTGACTGCCATTCACACTAATTGGATGCTACACACAGAATGTAATGTCACATTTCATCCCAATTACTATGTTGACTACAAAACACCAAAGAATTCATGCCAGAGGACCTACTACAAAGGTGTTCCAGACATTATTCATGTGGGTGGAAATCAGTTTGTTGAAACAGCAGTTATCTGCATGTGCAGGACTATGAATGTTGTGTCTTGGTAGGTGTCGCAATGTGTTAAGACCATGCACAAAGGGTAGGACTGATTCCGAGGGGCTTGGCTTCAGCTCGTGCGCTGCGCCCCTTACCCAAGTATGTGCCCTTAATTTCAGAATGATGTCTGAAGGACGTCCGAAGTGCGGGAAAGTTCCGGAGGAACTTCCGGAAATTATGATGAGGTTTCGTCCTGATACGGATATGTGTAATGGCTACTTAGGACAAGTCCTAAGTAGAAGCAAACAGAGGAAAGGCTGCAAGGACAAAGTCTGAAGCAGAATAGGTCCGGAGGACCACGGGAAAGTTTCGGATGAACGTCCGGAAACTTTGGAGGATCGGATGAGCGGATGAGCGGGGATTGGATAAGCGGAGCTCTGGCCTAGGGAATTTTTCCCTAGGCCCGAGATGGATATTGACTAAGTCAATAGACTAGAACTGATGTGAGGACTTAGAGTGAGATCTAGTGCGAGGACTAATATGATATTCAGACTAAGGAACTACAGGACATATACAAGAGTTTATATACTAAGGAAATAATGGAAAGATCAGTAAGCAAGCATCCGAGGCTATGTATGAAGCATAAGCAAAGTTATCAAGCGTGAGTCGGAAATGGAGCATAGGTTAACGGATCAGTAAGCATACCAGTAGTAAGTATAACCAAGATACCGAGGACAAGGAATACCGAATAGAGGAATAGGCTGTGTTAACGTTATATGCACAGGAATGAATTAGGAAGCTTATCGTATATCGGATCGGATCGGATCGGATTGGACCGGACCGGACGTCCGGATGAGACATGTGGATATATGGGATATGACATTAGGGTGATGGGACAAAGGATGACTGATGCAGGCTAGCTGAGGTATGGAGGTAAAGGGATGTGGATGTGGATGTGCAGGGGTGCAGGGATCCGGATGGATAGAGGACTGGAGACATGGATAGGGTGTCCGAAGGTCCGGATGAGGCGTGGGAATATTGTCGGATGTAGGTCCGGAATATGGGATATGACACAATGTCACTGCCACCAACTGGTGCTGATATTGTGCGATTTTAGGTCATCAATGTCAAATTGAGCTTGTCTGTATAACTTGGCACTTTCTCATCAAGCTGTCCCTCCGGATGACTTTTCTTACAGTTTCTCTCTTTCTGGTGACCATGTCTGGAGTGGTATTGTTCAACTCTCACTCCTTGAAGATCTTCTGTGCTGTGGGGAGACTCTTGCTGTCCAACATTCAGGTTTGCACTGAGACCGCTTCACTGCAGCCATTCAAGTGAGGAACCATAGAATTCAGTATTATGGCCAGGAAGAGCTGCATCACTACTGCACTAAATGCATTTCTTTCTATAATGAGGACAATGATGGGAAGGCAGATAGCAAGCTGTCTGTTATTGTCATAGATGGTGTCACTATCAGGCACCCATGCTGCAGTGTCCATAACTGCCATAATCTGCTTGCTAACAACCATGACCGTTTTTGTCTCACTCATAGCTCTCTTGATGGTATATGCACCATCATTGGGTGTGACAATCCCACTGTCCCCGCAAAGAAGATATGCAGCGATCAGGCTCATTATGCTGTCGAGGCAGCATACACCAAACATGGACAGGCACACTTCCAACTCAGAGAACATCTTGAGCATACTCGTGTTTCCAACCCAAGTAGCTCCGATACCAGAGATATAGCTGTGGATGAGATCAACGATGATAGCCCACTAGAGGAAGATTTTGATGTCAATGAGAGAGATGAAGTTGTCATGAATGCTGACACCACATCACAAAGGACAAACCACAAGGTTAAGGCACAATTTGGCTGCAAGTGTACACACAACGAACAGCTTTTTGTTGCACCCTGCAGTAGGACAAGACACAAGTCCTTATCAAACCTGTCACAATGAGCCTCTGTGGTCACATTGAGGTTGACGACCAGGGAGAGAAAAGGAGCCACCAGTGAGCATTCTCCACCTGGGAGGTTTTGGCCGAGTTCCGCCAAAACTTCATACTCCTCTGGCAAGTAGTCCTTCATCTGGTAGGCGTCAATATATGTTATGTGTCACAAGTCAAGTCACATACCACACATTCTATTCACTCAAAGAGTTCACTGAACACAGTCAGGATGTTGCTATAGAGCTGTTGATGCTCCAAAGCAGTGTCTTTTGAATGATACAGCAAGCATTGAGTATGATTGGTGCGACTAACATCAACTCTGGCCATGTTCTGTGGATGAATATGTGTGGGTGCTTCATCTACCTGGAAAAAATATCTCTTTAGGTTTTATGGAAAACTGAACATGAAGCAATTGAGAACCTACAGTAGTAGAGTATCTATTCCAGAGAGAGAAGTAGAGGCACTGGAAGGGACGACTAAGGACCTTCTCTGCCAGCTTCTCCAAACTGACATCGGCACCATGCTTCCCTTGTGGCAGCTTATCTACATCTTGATCTTGAGAGTCTTTTTGATAGCTGCACACTCGCAAAACCGGTTCTCCATCAAAGCAAGCTAACAAGCTGCTGGTGAGGCCACAGCAAATGGCCTTGGGCAACAAGGGACAGACAAAGGCCATAAGGCTGCCATCTGAATTGTGGAGGTGAAGGGCACCGCTGAAATCACCATTTGTTAGTTCAAATTCTATGAATAAAGATCAACTCACCCTTAAAGAATACACATTGGTATGCGTAGGTATACATCTTTGGTTCTGCAACCATTAATATAGAGTTGATTCAACTTCAAATACTCCTCAGTGGGACCGCTACAATGCAAGGTTCCAGATCACACACCTTGTCACTTAAGTCGTGGAGGTCCTGAACTACTTCCCCTGCCTCTGCTTTCGCTCGCTCTCGTTCAGTCCATACTGCATTCTCCCTCCTGTCTGTCCTCGCAGGGAAAGTCATATTGTTTCTGTGAAAATGGCCAAAAGAGGTTTTGATGACAGTCACCTCAAAGCGCTTGATCCCAACATGACATTCATTCACTGAATGTAGTGCAGAAGGTAAGTGACCAGCAATGCCCTTACTGTCAATGACAAGCCACTGTTCTATTATGGCTGGGATGCAAACAGCCCAGGCCCCCATATCTCTAGCAGGAAGAGAAAAGTTCCTGGCAAAAGTGAGCTGCGCATAACAATTGTTCAAGTGTTATATAACATACTGTTGTTTGAATGCATCAAAAATTCTATCGGTGAGTGACAGGTCTGTACAGTCCACTGATTTCCCAACCCCTACACTTGTTAGAAAAGACGAGCAAAATAAATCTTGCAGAGAGATCAGCATGTGAGATCTAATCCAAGAGAGGGTGGGAATGATATGATCAGTTATTAGCAACCACATGTCTGTGAGAATGCGATTAGCATATGGAGCAAGAGGTTTAAAGGATAGCTCACCATTAGACTCTTGAGTACCTGTGAGGAGGCGATTAGTGCATGAAGCAAGAAAATAAAAAAAGACTCGCTGATGATCTCTGGCTGCCTCAACATCTTAGCTACTTGATGAAGGACTTGAAACCGCATTGTTGCAACTTTACATCATATCTCAAGACCCGCAATCATAACCAGAAGGTAGAATGAACCACCTGCAGCTAGAATGATGAACTTGCACCCATTTTCATACCAACATTGAAAAGTGCATTCTGAGGGTGCATCGTTCAGCTTTGCAATCCTCTGATTATAGATTTTGTGAATACTAGAAAGTTCAGTAGTCATAGATGGGGCAACAATACTACAAGATTCATTGGTCAATGCCCCAAAATGAAGGTAAATCAATATCTTTGACATTGTATCGCCAGTTGCATGTAGGTAATCATCACAACCAAGCTGGAGCCAGTTGGCTGAACTGAAATGAAACAGTAGTATGCTACAATCTCTTCCATAGAGCCTCCACCCAGTTCTACACCTTCTGGTACTTTGAGATATGATAAGCTGCTAGTGACCCACATTTGAACATTCAAAGAAGAGATGACAGAGTCTATATGAGGAGCAGCAAGTGCAGCAATGAGAGCATCAGAGGTAATGAAGCTGTGGGATCAGATGGACATGACTTGTTCCTGCCATATTTGAGGTGCAGCAAGGGTTTGCCCATCACACAGGCATCTCCTGCCATCCAACATCACCCTCTGATGAATAGGATCTGCAACCACAGCATAAGGATATTGGAAAAGTCGATGATGCTTTTTAGATGTTACCCGGCATTGGTGGCTATTTGATGGACTGTTTGCATGGTCTACATCTCTGACATTATCTTCAGTGCAGCTATCATGAACATGGTCCATCTCCTTATCTGCATCATCACCCATCTCATCCATACTGACAATATGGCAATTGAAGGAAGTATGAATATCTTCTTCAGAGGACGAATCTTCAGAGGAAGAGTGTGAGCAGACATTGGAGTTACAAATGCTGAGGAAGTCAAGGTTGTTAAAATTGGCAGGGAAAACATGTAATGTACTTACCTTTCTCCAACAAAAGGTGGTTCATGAGGGGTTGAAAATGAAGTCAAAGAAAGCAAATGCTGCACTTTATGAAGTAAGGGTAAGGTTCCTTGATGTTCATTCATACATTCTAAAGCATGTTCAATGAGCACAAGTTTAGCCACCGTCACTTCCATATTGAACTTGAACTTGTCTTTGGACAAGGGATTCTGCCTTTGCATCTCATTGAAGTTATTTGGGAGAGTTGCGAGTGCTGTCTGGCCCTTATAGTAGTAGAGCACTGTCATATCCCGCATTCCGGACCCGGACCTATCACACACATCATTTCCGGATTTCTGGATCCGGCTGACTTCTATGTATCGTCTGGATCCGACCCACATCTAACTTCCGTGCCTTATCCCTTTGAACGTTCCTTCTCCAGTTAGACTATAATCATTTTCCATACCTGATTTCATTTCCATCTTTATTTTCCTCAGTTCTCATTTCCATCTTCATTTACTATTTTCTGATAGACTAGTGTTTGACTTTTCTATATGCTCCGTCCATAGCCTCACATAGCTTCGGACTGCACTGGCCGACTCTCCGATAAATCCTCAGTAGTATATAAACCCTGTAGAATCTTTGTACTTCTTTAGTTCGAATATTATCTTAGACTCTGCTCATTCCCTCCTCCATCCGACTTGAGTTCTCCTCTCGTTGTCCTCCGCTAGTCTTAGGATTGACTCCTATAGACTTGTCACCTCCACCTCTACCTCTGGTAGTCCTCTGCTGTTTCCTTTCTAGTTCGGACATCGTCCGGATTAGTCTTATCACTTGTTTCTGAATGTCTGCCGGAATTCCTGTGCATCGGACATCGGACTCCAGACATCGTCCGACAACCTTCGGACATCGTCCACTAGCCTTCGGAAGTTAGGGGCACGTACTCAGGTAAGGGGTGCAGTGCACGAGCTGAAGCCAAGCCCTTCGGATCCGACCCTTGAGCACGTTCTTAACAAGCACTATGATTGGTGTTTTGTGCTGACAACAGATGATGAACACTGACCTTAATATTGATTATGCCTCCTTCGCTGTAAGCACCCTACTAGTAGGAGACCTCAAAGTAGCACCAATAACTGAAATCATGTATAACTGGAAAAACCTGGGATGAGCTCATTATTGTCAGGCGCCTGACAACAATGACCTCACTAGTATTGGAAAATTTTGGATACATATACACATACATACATATAATAGAATGTCAATCTTCAGCAATATGAAAGAATGGTACTACCCCTGCTCTTAAACCACACCAAGCCAATGGGCCTAGGATGTCCATCACAATGAGGAGGCAGCAAGTGCAAGTAACTAGGGTGGCTGTGGAGTGCTCAGAGTCTACAAAGGCACTGGCAAGAAATCCAATGCTGGACCATGTGATGCCTAAGTACATCTTTTGTAAGTAAAAGTAAGGGACTGTAATGCAAAAGTTCACTTGCCTCATTATATAAAAAAATCTAGGTGCGCTGAGCACCCCAATGACAACTATCATTTCCTGATCCAGATAGTATGCCTAAGTGATAATGTCAGATTTACAGCTGCAAAACACAAATCAAACAAACCGCAAATCTCAGTGTTTTCAATTTCTCTCCAAAGTGTTGTGCAAACATCCCTAAAAACATGCAGGCCACACAAAATATAATGGATCCCTTCAAAATAGACTCTGCTACCTTTCCAGTGCCTACACCTTGTATGGCAAGGAAACTGGCATTGATTGCCATAATAACCCCTGCCTGCTACAGGTAAATGAGTTCTCATTCTCTACCCTAGTAATATATCACTCACCAAAGTTATCTGCACTGTGATCTGGGTGCTGACGTCATCAACAAAGTTCTTGATGTTGAGGGAATTGACAAGGCCGTCAACATAGATTTGGTTGAGGTGTTCTTGAACCAAGATAGGAAGGCACAACATAGTAGAGTAGCTATGAAGCAAAAAGGTTCCCTCTTTAGAGGCCTGATGCCTGTTGAATGAGAATGCAAAAGATGGGCTTCAGGTTGTCCATAATAGTTAAGATATTGGTGATGACCTGCATCATCTTATTAGCAATAATACCTAGTGAGAGAAATGGCTAACATACGTAGCATATGGTATAGTCTACCTAGCGGTAATGATATAAGTATCCATAGAGTCTTATTTTCAAAACATTTACTCACAGAATAATGCGACACCTGGCTCCGTTATACTTCCATCAGAGCCTGTAAGATCATCTGCACTTTATTCATGAAGATGCTGTAAAGGGACAATGCAAGACATACCTAGACTGGCCAGTCTGGTGATGATTTTCTCTGTCACATCCCTGTTAGAGAATATGGTAGCCAAAGTGGAATTTTCTAGAGTCAGTGCATCTGCATTTTACTTAGATTGTTCTATTCAGTGTCAGAATTTGATAGAATATATGTACCTGCATGAAACCAATCAATTTCAGCTTGCAGCTTTCTTACAAGGAAACGATCCAGCTTAAAACTGTAGGGAAAGAATTCTACATGCTTCCTGTCAAGCGATTTGTTTGAATTAGTCCTTTATGTCAATAGCGACAACCACTCACCAAAACTGGGCCTCAAGTTCAAGTCATGAATAACAATTTAGTCTATAGATCATGACATTAGAATGTAACACACTTTTATGATACCATTCCCTAGCAAAATTGCACTTTCTTCAAAGATGAGTGCCATCCAAAGGCTTTAGCCAGCCAATGATGTGCGCATCTGGCACTACCAGGCAGTACAGATAGATGTCACCAGGTACATTCTGAGTCCTGGCCAGCTCAGCAATCATGGTGGGATCACTCTTTACCCCGCCTCTCATTGACTTCACCTACACCTCAAAGTTTTCCAACTGAACTTTTGAGCAGTCTCTTAGATTCAGTCCAATGTATGTTTTCTGTTGTAGTGAAATGAGGGTAGTACTAGCATTCACCCAATTGCCACTCACCCATATCTGATTGTAATAATAAGTAGCTCCAGATGGGTGAATGTGCTCCTCCCATTCCCCATATACATTTTGCCTGTTAATGTTGGGTCAGTGTGACTGTTATGGCCAATGAAAAAGTGTATTGACTTAAAGTCATCAAATTGCATTTCCTGTACCAGGAAGTTAGGAACTGGTGGTAGCACCCTGGTGGGATTAGCTGTCATTCAAAGTAAGTGGTGATGGGTACTCACTGTCTTGCATTTGGGGTGTACTATCCTAGCTGTGTTGGCCATGCAGTGGTAGTGTGGTCAAGGGGAACCATGTTTCTGCTTGGGTGCTTCAGTTATAGCTTGAGAGTGCAAACCATTCAACTTACTAAAACCGGCAGTATTTTCAGATATGGGAAAAATGACAGAATAACGAGTGTCAAGATGAGTTGATCTTAGACTAGTAGTAGTAGTACTACTGTGACTTAGCTGTAGCTACGTCAGACTAGGAGAAGGCTGTGTCTCAATCACTTATCTAATACATTTGTGGACAATCCTCAGCGTTGAACAATCAGTGCATTCAAGTTGATTCTCCTTCAATATTGTTACCGCTAAGTTATAATGTAGTTAATGCTACTTTGTGATCAAGGCTCAATTGCAATTTACTATCAACTTCTTTTATTTAAAATGTATAATGTCTAGAATTCATGTCACTTCCCTGATGCACTGGCACTCTGCTTAGTGACCCCGTCAGACCCAAGCAGACCAGCATATTGTACATACACTAGTAGAGGGGTCCTCATCATTATATATATTTAACAGTAGTTTATATAGAAACCTAGATATCACTGAATACTCACTAGCCCATAGCATTCCTTACCAGATGACGCTTCTACAATAAAGTTCTCCATCTCCTCTGACATAACTGGCAGAATAATGGAGTTGAAAGAGCACCATATCCACACCCTGGAATTTCTTCGTCACAATAGATCTCATGCCACCAATGCTGATCTAGAACTACTGGAGAGAAGAAATAACGGATCCTTAGCACCTGTACCTGAAACCAAGTTGTTCCCTTCTGCTGGCCACCTATATGTTATTTCCCCAGATGACTGTTTTTATGAAGTACATTTTGCCCATTGTATTATTTCCACGCTTAGCTTTCCACGTCAAGTTAATCTGGTTATGAAGCAAGTTATAGCAGAGTAAGGTGTCTATGTTATTTAGCATTCTGCTTCATCATCAGGTAGCATTATGAGTAGGTATTTACAGCTAAATTCTACACAACTCACCAACATTGTTTATCTTTGGCGTAATTAGTCCGATGAGGTAATGATTCCTTTTGCATTGATGCAAAGAGGCTGTCCAAATTCTGCATGAGTGCATGTCAGCCAGCCAAGGTTTCTAAGCATGAACAGTTCTGTTCGTACTATGTTGCCCTCCTCGTCAGCCTCCTAATGCCTTGCAACACGATGACCCAATTCCAGGGCACAATATAAACCATGGTACATTATTTTATTGCACTGTAGCAAGGAAAGATAATGAATACTGTACATATATAGCTACTTATTGGTTTGTCCACTACCTCTCTTTTCCTGCATGACACAACCACATGCTTAGATGTCTATAAGACATTACTATGTTCTTCATGGAATTGGGCCCAACACAGAAACATAGTACTGCATCCTGGGAGCGGCCCTAACCCCAATATTTCACTGGTGACATCATTGTGGTTATAAATACTTTGTCTATCACAATTGCAATACTGACCATTACACAATATTGACCGCAATATATTTAGGCTGTTACAAATCTATGAAGACACAGGAGCTTTTATTTTTGGTAAGTCTGAATAGGAACGACTTTTGGTTTATTTTTTGGAGCTCATCAACAGTCTTTTGGAATGTGCATTATAGTAACCTGTAACATCACAGTATGCACTAACCTATCAAATAGTTCCAGAGGATGTGTTGCAGGTACAACTCTTTTGCACTATCCTCCCACAATGGTAATCCTTCAACTTGACTTCTGCAACATTCCAACCCTGCCTGGTTTATAGGCCAGACAGATGTCAGATGAGGGAGAGAGGAGGGAGAAGATCAACGGCACTGGGGGTAGACAATCAAGCGGCGATAAGAGCGACCAATGCCTTCCAATTGAAACCGGGCCACTATCTAATGGACAAATTTCATGACAACCTCTGCACTCTCTACCCATCCGAGGACAACGGAAGATTGGTGCTACGCTGGGCAGCAGGCCACACCGGCATAGCCAGCAATGAACAAGCAGATGAACAAGCCAAAAAGGCGGCAGGAGGAGAAACATCAGACCCTCAAACACTTCCCATCTCACTCCGCTCGCCAACCAACACGCCAATCACCCTCCTAGCAAGCAAATCAGCCATAAAACAAAAGTTCAAAGCATCAATCTACAAAGAAGCAAAAACCGTCCTATGAAGCTCACCTTGCAGCGACAAATTCAGGGAAATTGACCCAACCTACCCATCCAACCACTTCATGAAAATTGTAGACGAATACCCAAGAAGGCACGCTGCCCTGCTCATACAACTCCGAACAGGCCATATTCCGCTGAACAAGCACCTTCACAGAATAGTGAGATCGCCCTCCCCACTCTGTCCTGCCTGCGAGGAAAGAGAAGAATCAGTCCACCATTTCTTATTGGCGTGCCCGGCATACAAGAGATTAAGAGCAAACATGAGGACAGAACTCGGAATGTGCGCGCAAAACCTCAAAGACCTCTTGAACAATGGGAACAACATCAGAACAGTCCTCAAATACATCGCTCGCACAAAACGCCTGACAAGCACCTTCAGAGATGTCAACCCCCCAGAAAGGAAGTAGAACCTACACAATGTGTTGAGTGCTTAGCCATCGTCTCCCCAAAAAATGCCTTAAGACAGCATTATCGTCCTCGTGCCAGCCAGGACCAGGATTACAGAACCCCAACGCGAAACAGACAATTTAGATTAACATAGAGTAAATATACCCCATGTACTGTCTATCATAGGGCTTCGCCCCAATGGACAATAAACAAAGACTCAAAAAAAAAAAAACAGATGTCAATGATCCCTGTTGAATACAAGTTCAGTATTGAAGGGAATCCTACAATGCTGATAACATGAAGACAGTTCCCACTCATACCAGCATATCACATCTACATATTGTAAAGACAGGGCGGTTAATACCTTGGAACCAATTCATGTCGATGCCATGTGCAGGCTCCACCTGAACCCCTCTTCTGCTCCACTTTGGTATAGGCATGTGCTCCACCTCAGGTCCTTTGTTTTCGCATGGTTGCTGCTGTAACCTCAGCTGATCGAGCATCAGAGCAGTCTCCATGTTTGTTCTATTCTTAGCTGGTTGTGTACTGTAATATTGCTCTAGAGCTCACTTGCACTAATTTACAACTTATATACAAAAGGAAGTTTGAATTAATTGGACTCCCTTATCATGTTTATTGGATCTTTCTCCACAAAGACCATAGGCCGCGTCAGAGTGATAGAAATCGTCACCCACCCTGATCACATCATCATAGCTAGACTTGTTATAGTCTGCACTGGACACCATATTGGCTCTGTTTTCTGTGAAGATGCAGCAGGGCACCCCTTCCATCATGCTTCAGAATTTAATATTTTGGATAGAGGCGATATGTACCACCACTTTGCTGCCCCTATACTACAGAACTGGATGTATGTCAATCTAGCTCCATTCTTTACCATTGTACTGACATGGCATCATGACTATAATATGGATCTCCATTACACAGGTATTGTTAAGACCGTGCACAAAGGGTAGGACTGATTCTGAGGGGCTTGGCTTCAGCTCGTGCGCTGCGCCCCTTACCTGAGTATGTGCCCTTAATTTCAGAATGATGTCTGGAGGAAGTCCGAAGATGTCTGAATGACATCTGAAGCACGGGACACTTTGGACGGACTTTCCGGACGAGTGCAAGTAGATTCCAGATGAGTGCGGGAAAGTTCCGGAAATTACAACGAGGTTTTGTCCTGATACAGATATGTATAATGGCTACTCAGGACACGTCCTGAGTAGAAGCAAACAGAGGAAAGGCTGCAAGGACAAAGTCCGAAGCAGAATAGGTCTGGAGGACCGCGGGAAAGATCCGGATGAACTTCTGGAAACTTCGGAGGATCGGAGGATCGGATGAGCGGATGAGCGGAGTATCGGATAAGCGGAGTCCTAGCCTAGGGAATTTCTCCCTAGGCCTAAGATGGATATTGACTAAGTCGGAAGACTAGAACTGATACGAGGACTTAGTGTGAAGACTAGTGTGAGGACTAATATGATATTCAGACTGAGGAACTACCGGACATATACAAGAGTTTATATACTAAGTAAATAACGGAAAGATCAGTAAGCAAGAGTCCAAGGCTATGTATGAAGCATAAGCAAAGTTATCAAGCACGAGTTGGAAATGAAGCATAGGTTAACGGATCAGTAAGCATACCGGTAGTAAGTATAACCAAGATACCGAGGACAAGGAATACCGAATAGAGGAATAGGCTGTGTTAACGTTGTATGCACAGGAAATGAATTAGGAAGCTTATCATATATCAGATCGGACCGGACTGGAGGTTCGGACGAGAAGTGTGGATATACGGGATATGACATTAGGGCGATAGGACAAAGGATGAATGATGCAGGCTAGCTGCAGAGGTATGGAGGTCTGATGTACGGAGGTAAAGGGATCTGGATGTGGATGTGCGGATGTGGATGTACAGAGGTGCAGGGATCCGGATGGGTAGAGGACTGGAGACATGGATAGGGCGTCCGAAGGTCCGGATGAGGCGTGGGAATATTGTCAGATGTAGGTCCGGAATACAGGATATGACAGGTATGAGATTCATGTATAAAAGAAGATTCAACCCAAGACATCCCCATATGCATCATTAGAGGGCCTTCTTTTTTCAGAGACTTAGTCTCATTACGCAAATCCAGGTGGCCACAAAGCCATTGTATAATGTATGTTTTCTACTAGTGATACTGTTCAAACCTACCATTTCACCATTTACTTGTGGCAGGGTGATATGTTTCCAGTGGCACCACATCAATTAACTCAGAGTCATAATGAAACTCAATTCATTGATTAAGGAGGCTATGTAGATAGATAGCCTAGGGTGCTTATGTTTGACCCAAATATGTACATTTCCTCACAAACTGTCATCATTCTTAGTATCATCATCATTGGCTCCATCAATCTCAAAATCATTGCAAGATCTCAATTGCTTTACCTTGCTCCACAAGGTCACAAATGTTGGAAAAATTGTGCCAAGGTCTGTGTGAAGAAAAATAATTTACTAAACCACGTTGAAGGGTACGTGCATACATTTATCAACATACATGACAACTTAAAACAGAAAAGATAACACTGTACCTGACTCTCCTCATGGACAAGCTGTCAAAGAATCTGTTCCAGGTGATGTAGAGCCTGATGTGAAGCTCTAGGCAAGTCTTTGTTATTCATTTCAAACTGTATTTAACTTCTTTACTAGGCTCATACAGCTTGATCCAGAGAAATAAGTGTCTCTTCCATACCTAGGCAGCAGCTCAACAACAAAGGCTTGACACTATATATGAGTACAGTTTGATTCTTCCTGAGCTCTGGCTAGCCTAACACTAGACATGGAAATGACTTCTTCAGCTTCTCACACACCACCATGCTTTCACACTCATACTCCAGTTCAAGTTCTGACCATCTTTAACCAGAATATTGTATTGGTGTCTTTGACAGCTGGATATATGTATTTTAATAGGGTATTTTTTGTATCCTGCATTATGGTGATGCTAATCATACAGATTGGTAGGACTGGCTGATTCCTTGTATTCAAAAGTAACTGGCCCTTTTCACCATCACTTACTTTACCTCTTAAATGACCCTAGTTTAGAGTTCGGAATGCAGGGGCTGCCATTCCGAACCCTAGGTTCTATTGTCATATGCGTGCCTTGCAGCATTGGTGCATCTGGATAAATCTAATCAGTTCTCCCATTCATTGAAAGTGTTTTAGCTAATGCACTAACCTGGTCCCACATGGCCTCCAGCTCAGACCCCTTAGTTTGAGTTTGATTTATTAACAGGCCCAGATGCTGAGCTTCATATATCAGAGGATGAGGTCATAAGACGACATCTAGTGAGTTGATATCTTGTCTGTTTCCATCATATTAGCTGACTTTTTATTGACACTCAGTCTTACAGTAAGTTTACTTTGTGATTACGTCTGTGCATGCTATTCATATGGTGATCAGTGGATGCTGATAGAGCTATCAGGACACCCTGCCTGGGCAAACCTGTGCACATGAAGTCTGGGAAAATGATGGGCTGGCTACAACTCTGATGCCTCACATTGCCTTGCAATTTATAAGTTGTGTGCGCTTTCCATCCTTTCAAGTTCTACCTTATTTCAGAACTTGTCAAACTCAAATTTGCCCGCCCCTCTCAAATCCAACGCGACCTTCCCAAAGATGAAAATTTCTCCCTGTCCACGCATTCCAATCCACTCAAACCACTCTTGTTCATACTTGATTTACATTCTGTGCATACTGTACATCACCACATAAGTCTGTATAATGTCCAGTACCATACTGTTTGCTTTGTCGGCTGCCAATGTCATATATAGTATATGGTTCACTGTCTCTTCTGCATTTATCCTATAGCACATTGTGAGATGGAGGAGGTGTGACAACTTTATGTGATGGCCAGAACCTAGTGGAGATCCAAGACAATACATCATTCAAGTTTACACATGCACTGACACCCATGATAATTGGTAATTTTCATGCTTGTGCTTCTTTGATTCCCAAATCATGAAGGGCCATACTAAAAGCATGATCATTTAAGCATGTATAGTTGATAATGGAAGGTACATTTGCAAGTGTCCATACTTAAGCTTAGAAGAGGCAGTTGTAGACTAGAATTATTTTGCAAAATCACTGTGAGAAGTTCAAACTAAGGGCTGAAGTGGGGACACACAAAGGCTATCAAAAACTTTCACCCATACCCAGTATGTCCAATATGAAAGGCAAAAACAGGGCAAGAAAAAAGGGGCAAGTGGAGGGCAAGGTAAAGTGGCTCACAGATTTCAAAATGATGATTTGACACGACTTATCAGGAGGAATTTACTTCTAATCTACACCTGGACACCCGTCCAATCAAGGCAAAATCCCCAAAGAATGACACTGGGAAGGCAACACAGCATCTGGACATGCAGGTTGCAAAATGCAAGCTTGGGGTAGCATGGATCAATTGGCTAACAACAACTCATCACCTTGATGTTGGGAAATACAACAACAGGCCTGAAGTTAAACTGGAGACTAGCAAACTGATTGTGTCATTTAAAACTTCAGAAATAGTGTCCATGAAGGACTCCTCAGCTATTCCTATCATTATCAACAAGAGTAGCATTGAGAACAACTTGGTGTTTGCTTTGGGGTTCAATAACCCTGAAGCTGTTCCTCACTTGAAATTGAACAACCACTCAGATATCATTGTAGCTTCAGGGCAACACAGAATATCAGCCATGAAACATTACCGTGGATTGATTGAGGAAGAAATGAAGTCATACCAGATAAGGCGTGGCAAACTCACAAACCTAAAGACCCTCACAGATGAAGCCATCAATGAGCACAATGCCCTTGGCGATCAAATTGCTGAATGTATGGGCCAGTTGGACGGGATGGGCAAATGGGGAGTGATTGTATATGACAGATGTAAGTTTCATTAGTGCACCATTCAAAGGGGACTTGACCTTTCTGCAACACTACCATGCTGACACCAAGATTTCTTATAGAAAAATTACTTGCCAAGAACAATGGGCTTGCAAAGCACCTTAGTCGAAACAATACACTGCATGAATATAAAGAAACATAAGAAGAAGTGTTGCTCACCGTGCTGGAGAGCATTCAGCCAATATACCTAGCAAGCCCGGATGACATCAGACAGTGGGATGCTGCTGTAGTCCTTATTGAAGAGTTGCAGGCTAAAATGGATAAGAATTTACAGTGTAGCACTTGAGCTTGCGCTAGGCTCATATTCAGGTATTTCATGATTCACATCAAATGCTCATCTGTCATATCCCGTATTCCAGACCTACATCCGACGATGTTCCCACACCTCATCCGGACCTCTGGATCCCCTATCCATGTCTTCAGACCTTCAACTTCTCTATCTGTCCAATTCCCGGATCTGATGTCCAGACATCTGTCTGACATCCACATCTCCGGATCTGACTTATCTGTCATGTCCTAACTCAAACCTTAAATCAGCGCCCATCCCCTTATGGTAATCACCTGTTTCTGGTCATCCAGTTATACCTATAACCGACTGTACTCATTTCCCGGACCTTGTTCATTTCCATCTTCATTTTATTATGTTCCAACACACTAGTGTTAGGTGTTCCATGTGCTCTGTCCATAGCCTCACATAGCCTCACACTGCGCTGACTGATTTTCCGTTATGTCCTTTGTAGTATATAAACTCTGTAAAGTCTCTGTACTTCCTCAGTCTGAATATCATATTAGTCCTCACACTAGATCTCACACTAAGTCCTCATATCAGTTCTAGTCCTCCAACTTAGTCAATATCCATCTCAGGCCTAGGGAGGCATTCCCTAGGCTGGAGCTCCGCTCCTCTGATCCACCATTCCTCCAAGTTTCCGGAACTTTCCTGTGGTTCTCCGGACCTATTCTGCTTCGGACTTTGTCCTTGCAGCCTTTCCTCTGTTTGCTTCTACTCAGGACAAGTCCTGAGTAGCCATTACACATATCCCTTTCAGGATGAAACTCCATTGTAATTTCCCGCACTCATCCAGAAGTTTCTCACACTCGTCCAGAAAGTCCATCCGAAGTTTCCCATGCTCCTCCGGAAGTCCTTTGGACTCCACTGGACTTTCTCCGGACTTCATTCTGAAGTTAAGGGCACATACTCGGGTAAGGAGCATAGCGCATGAGCTGAAGCCAAGCCCCTTGGAATCAGTCCTACCCCTTGTGCACGTTCTTAACATCATCGCACAATAAACACTTCCCGCTCAATCCAATGCTTTGACAGCAGACCCGATATTTTCCATGGGAACCAAGCTCGCCACCGCATTGTCCTCCCCCTTCAGAAAGGATGCCTCCTCCCATTGTCTCTGACCACCTTTCTCACAGTGGTATTTTTGTGTCATGTCAGTCATAACATTGCATATTTACCTACCCTCTAGGTCGTGTCCTCATGGCCACTCATCCGCATGGGCCCCCAGTCGCATCATCATCCAAGGTTGTAGCTATTACTACTGCGACATCTTCAAAACGCCCTCATGAGACTACCAGTAAGTATTCCTTCTATCATGGTCCTTTAATCTAGCATATCTGACAATCCTAGTCTCAAAGGTCACTTACACTCAGAAGAAGAAATCTCGGTGTTGACCTGCACCAAACTGGTTCGGTGCATGGATGACTAATACTCTCCTATGAGCCCTATACCCTATGAAATCATTTTCTCTATGATCTGAAGTCAGACTGAGGCTAAGGGAATATTTTTCGCTTTTTTCATTTTTACAAGTTTATACGTGAGTGGACTGAATATTTTTTTACATTTAATTCTGCAATGAGTTTTGCTTAGTCAGCCATGAAGATGACTCAGAAGATTCTCACACATATCAGGTGACTGTAAAAAATGTGTTTGCGTAAGGTTACCCTGTGGGAAAGCTTACAAATCGCTAAATACGTGTCCTATGTCATTATGCTACCAATCAATTCATCAGCCACAGATTTCACAAACATATGTACACAATATGTAATTATTTCTCACTCTTGTCTAGCTGAGTCATCAAGGGTCACCTGACCCATGGGCCATACACAGCTCTTGCTGACTCATCATTATACCAACTAGAGTTATGAATATTTACTTTTGACCCAAAGATACCATGTGACTTGGTACTAACAAACTAAAGTTACAACTTTAAGTATGAGAAACTAGTAGTATAGCCACCAAATTTGTCTATATAAGGACCAGCTTTTTGCCCAATAAAACAAGCAATTCCCCTTTGCTTTTTTTTGCTCTCAGAATAAAATTGTGAGTGAAGTGTGAATCGGCAACCAGCAAGTGCAGTTCAAGGTTGGAGCTCACTGTGCTCAACAACCAGCACCACACTTCCGAGCTCATTGTGCTAAGCATCTAGCACATACCTTGAGCTCACTGTGTCTGACAACTAGCAAGACTAGTTTTTATTTGTCTGTTTTTCTCTTGATTGTCTGTCTGAGATTCTCTCTTTCTTTTTGTGTCATCATTGTCTGTGTCTCTGTCTGTGAATTTCTCTGTGATTTGTCTCCGTCTCCGTGTCTGTTTTTCTGAGTGTCTGTCTGTTTTTTTTTCTCTCTGTTTTTCTCTGAGATTGTGTCTGAGATTCATGACTGAAACTCATGTTTCTGTTTCTGTTTCTTTTTCTCTTTCTCTCTCTCTGTCTCAAGTGTGTGTGGTGTGTTGGTGACTGTCTGTGCTGACCATCTCTCTGATCGCTATTTGTTTGCTTTGTGATTGTTGTTGCTAACAGTCTTCATGATCGTTATCGTGTTCGTGTTTCTGTTGTAGCTGTCTTGTTTTGTTGTTGTCTCAACCTATCAACTTTCTCTCAAGTACCAAAGTTTCAGTCTCATTCTTACCCAGAAGTTTGGTGTTGTCTCTTTTTGTCCACGGAAGACTCTGATAGTCTAGTGGAGAGACTTCAGGTGTTGACAGTGATACCTGACCTCATACATCTGTGTGTTATACCGATCGAGGGTAGTCATTTGCGAGTTAGACTTTAGCTATTGAAAAGAGGACTTGGTATTAAAGTCCAAGGTCGCCCATTCCTGAGTCTGTTTAATACTTATTGTGAGTTCCTTGGCAGCAGGTTCAATATTAGGCTAAGAGTGCTACAAAGGCTTGACTAGGCCTGACGGTAGTTTCACCTGTTTTTGTGTTGAGGGGGACTCTCATTGTAACTCCGCACAACTTGCTGCACTAGGTTTGTGTACGAATCATTGTTGCTGTGTGAAGTGTTAGGAAGAGTATCTGTTTGTTTTTGTGTCATCTCTATATTGTTAGAGTGACTGTGTTTCCTGATATTTTGTTGTTGTCTGTGTTGTTGTGATTGTTGTTGTTGTTGTTGATTGCTGACTGACTGAGTTCTGTTTTCTCTCATCGCTGTGTTTCATATCCATATTGTTGGATTGACTGTTGACTGTTGGCTGCTGATCACTGACTTTTGTGCGAGCCATATTCCACTGACTGTATCTTAGGAGCATAGGCAAGCCACCCATGAACAACCACATTATCAGTCATTGGTATTTGTCTGAATCGCTGACTGTGGAGATATTTGGTTTTATAGGTGTTTATCTATAGATCATCTATCTAAGAAGACAGCATGTACGTGCTCATGGGAATGGTGATGAGGAATGTATATTTCTTCCAGGGATTTGAGTGATTGTATACCACAATATGCTCATTCTACTTGCAGTAATATCTGTTATCCTATTTGTTTTTTCTTCAAACCTGGTTACATAGATTCAAGTTAGATTTCAACTGCTCTGCTGCCCACTTGTTTCCCCATGTTCAAATCCCACACCCAAAGACTCTCAGTATCGTGGGAGTCAGTAATGAGGAGACAGTACCAACAAATGAAAGCTACCTCATTCACTATGTATCAAGTCCCTTAAGCATTAGTTTGAGTCTGTGAGGCATTTCTTTTTGAGTTAGCGCCTGGGACACTACTTTGTGGGTGCCGCGGTATGGGTGTCCTATAGTATTTAGTGTTGGTTCATTGATGTCACATATCATGTGACTTTGTAAGTCTTTATTTACTGCATTTGGACTTAGGTTGTTGACCACCTCACTAGCTGCGTTCAACTCTTCAGATGCTGACCTGTGTCTTGGGGAGAGGATGTGTAAGAGTCTGGATTGTTTCTGCGTATATGCTACCATTACTGACATAAATATAGGTACCTATTTATCCTTTGTTGGCTCAAGCAGGTCAAGAAAGACAGGACTACTGTAGGGTTCTGTGTCTATGACACTTTTTTCCCACCTCTAGTACCACACTGAGCTTAGTCTTTGCTTAGTCTTACTCTTATGAAGCTGTTCAATTGCTTCAAATTCTTATTTCAGGGAATGTCTAGGTGAAGAATACAGTCAGGGAAATCATCAATGGCACCTTGCATTGAGTATGTCTACACTACCTATTATTTTGCAAGGTATGTCAGTGTGCTTGCATAGCACTGCCATGACACACCCTAACTAAATGATTTTAGTTCAAAAATGCGGAGTGTTCAGATAAAGAAAATCCGAACTCTGTGAACAAGTGGTAAGGACTTCATTACACCTTACCAGCATCTGACCCTACTTATATTGTTGAACTAATATATAATCAATACAGACCCATACATTAGGGTTCGGAATGCATGCAGCTGCATTCCGAACCCTAAACTGTGATTACAGATGTGGAAAAGAACTCTAAAAATTTTCAACACGGTATGCATGTCTTAGATTCATCCAACTACGTTGCAGCCCACTGATATTGTATTTCACTCGCAGGCCATACTACTAACTTTGATAGATGAGACTTGAAGTCACTAAAACAGTGTGAGACCCAGTGACTTCTTGAGACTCTGACTAACTCACACCTTGCAGCTCAAACTCAGAGGCCAGTGACACTGATGTGGTGCCAGCGGACAATTTCTTACTGCAGGATGAGTGAACCCTAATCCCATGCAGTAAAAAGAACAGGTGGAGGCAGATGAGGTATGTTCTGACAGGACAGTGGTGAACCCATTTCTGCTCAAGCTAAGAACGCTCACCCACTGAATATCCACCTACA